TAAATAATTTGTTGTCATTTGTTGTGTTACTCCATGTAAATTAAAATTTAAATAAAAATATTCTGTTTTATAATTTGTTATTTTAAAATAATATTTTAATTTATAATTTATAATGTAAGTATTATTGATACATAAAATAAATTTTAAACTTGTTTTATCTTAATTTTTTTTTATCTATACACATACTGAAAGCGTAAATAAGATACATGTGCATATTAAAATATATATATATATATTTCATACCCGTGTGTATTAAAAAATAAAAAATAATTTATTATTTGATGATGCTATTATTTGTATTTTACTTCATAATTTACTATTTTTTACCTTCACAATTTATTATCTTGTACATATATAAAATACAAACAACAAATAATGTGTCATACCTATCATTTTTAATATGAACCTCATATTAACTATATTTTTATCATATATCCAAAACTTATTTTTTTCATTGCAGGTCCTACATGATTTGAAACCTACAAATTTTGTTTTAAAAAAAGGATTTTTATACTGTTCATCCAATCCAACTGTAAATAAAAAGTAATAAATCATTATACTTTGCAATTAAAAAAAAATGAAAAAGGTACCAACTGGCAATTCGAGCACGCGCGTGGGAAAGGTATTTTTCACTTAAAAAATGAAAAAAAAAAAAAAAAAAGTGGGGGGCAACCATTTGAGTTTGGAGAAAGAGACAATTAATAAAAATAAAGGACATGTTCCCACTAAAAATAACGATAGATTTCCAAGAACCCGAACTTTTCAGAGTTGAAGTTTTTAATTATACATAGCTGTGGAACAACTGTGTTTAGAATTGTTTTACATTACGTTTGAATGGATAGATTTAAATTTAAAATTTTATATTTAAAATTCATAAATTTTAATTTTTTTATTTAAATGATATAAAAAATTTAAAATTATAATATCAAAATTCTTTGTTTGGATCTAAAATAAAATTTAAATTTTTTTTGAATTTAAAAGAAACTTGGAAAATGTCATCAATTCATTTTTAGTCAAAGTCAACAGTTTGAATGGTCAACTTCTATCGAGATTAGACTATCAAACCCAATCAACAACGATTGGGATGGGACAGTTGACTTCCATTAGGATCGGACTGACATGACTTCAGGGACTGGACGGCCAACTTCTGTTGGGACCAGATAGACAACAATTAATAGACCAGACAGCCAACTTCTATAGAAACTAGACTTATAGCGTAGACTGAGCTCAGAGGATCGACTTCCACAAGGATCAGACCGAAGTAGTGGCGGGGATCAAACGGCCGATTTTCACCAGGATCGAACAACTAACTTCCATAAGGACCGGGTTAATGACAACGATCGAGATCGGATAATCGACATCCACCGAGACCAAATCGACTATTGAGACCAGGATCGAACGATCGACTTCCATAAGGATCGGAATGGTGATGGTGATTGAGACAGCATGGCCGACTTCTACTAGGACCAAAATGATGGTGACAATCAGGACAGGACAGTTGACTTACATAAGAACTGAAACGGCAATAGTGACTTAGACGGGGCAGTCAACTTCTAAAAGGACCGAACTGACTGCTAAAACTAAGATAAGATGATCGACTTCTACCGAGATCGAACGATCAACTTCCATCAAGATTGGAGTTGGTGGAAGTAAGCCGTTAGATCTCGATCATAGCCGTTAGTTCAATCCGGTGAAAATCGACCATTAAGTCTAAGTGAAAGTCTGTCATCTTGTCCCAGTTATCATCGTCGGTCCAGTCCCCACGCAAGTGGGCCATTTAGTGCCTGTTGTCACTGTCAGTTCAATCCCAGTGAAAGTCAATCATCCCTTCCTAATCAACAGTGGCAGCTTGTTTCCATCAACTTCAATGATCTGTTTCAATTACCGTTGGTAGGTCGATCAAGCCTTCATGGATTTGAGTTAAATTATAAAAGAGATTGACTTAAAATTTGAAGTAATAGGATTTTAGAAAGAATTTCAAATCATAAAGAGATTGAAGTAGAACTTGAATTTAAATTTAGGTCAAATGCAAATGCATATATTTTTAATTACCCACTCAATGAATTTTGCTCAAATCCAAATCCAAATCTATATATATTCAAACATAGCATTAATATTTTTTATTTCATTACATGGCATTATAAGAAGGAGAAAATTTATGTACTTAACCTTTTATATTTAAAGTGTTTGTATTTAATTAAATCATGACATGTGAATCTTAATAATCTATAAAAGATTCACATGTCATAGCTTAATTGAATATAAATATATTAAATTTATAAGGCTAAATACATGAGTCTTGCCGTTATAAGAAATCGCTTTGTGTAATTTAGGAATATTTTGGTATTTGCATTTAATGTAACTATATATTTCAACTCCCCTAATTAGTTGAATCAAATGCCTCTTTAATATTAAGCCTATTGGTGATTAATTGCCAATTAATTTGTGCTCCTTTTGGTAATTCTTCAAAAATAATCAAACAACCCAAATCATGTTGTATATTTTGAACTTATTTGAATTGAGCTCAATTTGATAATAAGGTATCCAAAAAATTAATGCGTATATATGTTGGACCAAAATACTTATATTTAATTATTTAAATATGGATATTATCTAAAAATCATTTAAATTACCCAACAAATTAATGTGTATATTTTTTTCTGATTTTTTATTCATATTTTATTTTTAGTTATGTAAAATTATTTATTTACTAATTTTTTAAAAATTAAATATATAAATTGGCTAAAATAATATTTCAAACCCACACACGAACAAAAATCAATGAAATAGGTATTTAATATAAAAATTAATAAATCAATTAATATAATTTATGTTCATTTTTCTTTAAACTTTATTAATTTCAAAAAAAATATTTTTAAATTATTTATTTAAATACTATAATAATTAATTATTTAAATTTCCTTAAATTTGGGGAGAGAGTATACAATTTGATTATAAGGAAAAATTATAATTTTAATTTTCAACATAATTAAAAGTAAAAAATTAACTATTTAAAATTTTTAATGAAATATTTTTAATGGTGTTAAAAATTATACTAAAATATATGTTTTGAAAATATGAGTGAGATCCCTATAATTTTAATTAAATAGAAGGGAGGTTACAATATTTTATTCAAAAATTAATCAGCCGTCAAAGGATTAATTTTATAAATGCTTGTTAGATTCATTCAATTTAAAAAGTAAAATTACAGTCTGAACTTCGAAGACCTACCACTGGGAGCACGTGGGAAAGGTATTATTATTTTTTTAAAAAATAAATTAAAAAAAAAACATTTTGACTTTGAAAGAGCTCAAACTCTTCAAGGGTTGAGTAGTGTATCATTGTATTGTAGCCGACGAAGTGGCGTTTATAAATGTACACATAAATAAATATATTAATATATGTATGAAATTATGAATGGACCTATTCAACTGTGACAACTCTTCGTGAAACCACTCTAATTATTATAATAATGTAAGTTCAGGATTAAATTAAATAAGTCGAAATCTGAGGGATTATATGGCAGTTGAAACGAATATTATATCATGTCATATTCCACTCATGATTATCTATTTGTGTTTTTACATATTCCACGTATGAATTTTTTGTTTTTCCTGAATTACAAAAGTCAACATAGACATAGACATATATATAAATATATATACATATAGAATAAAATTTATAATATATTATATTATTTTATAGATTATTGATATTATAATTTGTTTTCAAACTTTATATAACTGTAACATATTTTTTACCAACTATACAGCTGTAATATTTAAGGAAATATATTTTTATATACTTCTTTCGTTAAAAAATATAAGATATTTTTAACTGAATTTTACCCTCCAATAAAGTAGTTACTTACTTTTTAACTAACCTTATCTTTTCATATTTACTCTATTAAACACCTTATAATAAATATAAAGTTATTATCAATAGGAACACTTAAAAAAAAGGCAATAATTATATATCAAAAGACTAAAAATGCTTTACATTTTTTAATATCCAATTTCTCAAAAAATACCTTATATTTTTTAACGGATGAAGTATATAATAAAAATATAATAATTTATATTATTTATAAGTCATAAATAATAATGTAACAATAATGATTATATAAATTAACTAAAGATATCAAGTTCCAACAATATGCAGCAACAATTATAAGTTAACTAAAGGACTTGAGTTCAAGTCCTGAGTATACAAATTCACAGCTAGAGTTATGCCTTTAAAAAAGTGTTTATAAGCTGCTGCCTAAATTAGTCTAGATCTTTTGGCCAAAAAAAAAAAATTTGTCTAGATCAAAAACATAAAATATTGGAGTGAAAGCAAAAGAAAAAAATGTTGCTAATTTCAAACTCCACCTCATATATACAAAAAGAAAAAGAAAAAGAAAAAGAAGACGACCAAAATGGTAAAAAAAAAAAAAAGTCTCCTAATATTTAACACTGATATATATTTTGAATTAAAACTCGAGATTACTGGTTAAGGCAGCACGTCTTCCTACCTGTCGAGATCTAGTGATCGGTAGTAACTAGTAAGACAATTTTTTATCCACATCTTTTTTTGGGCTAAGAGGTGAGGAGCGAGCCCAACAACAAAAAAAAAACGGAAACTTACAAGTAGCTTCCTCTCTTGACTAAAATTCAAAATTTTCAAGGCATGGACGAATGGACCTTTGACTCAATACTTTTCCCACCTTCCCCCTCCCTGCCTGGCTGACTGCTGTTTTCTCTCTCCTCTACTTTTCTCCTCTTTGTCATCTTTCTCCTCTCTCCCCATCATTTCATCTCCCCCCCCTCCCTCGCCTCGTTATATGTATAAGGTCACTGCTCCCTACAACTTTTCAAGCTCTCTCTCACTTACCAACAATTACCAGACAATTCTTCTCTCTCTCTCTCCCCCCCCCCCTCTCTGCTTTCTCATATCCAGGTGGGTCTTTTTTTTTTTTGGCTTCATTGGTTATTCAGTTCACATGTCCATCATCTCTTGTATTTTTTTCCACTAATTCCTATACTTTTCAAAACCCTTTGTGATCTGATCGTCCCATTCACACACACCACAATTAACCACCTTGAACTTTTCAATACCTTCAGAATTTTCATACACCCTCTCTCTTCATCCAGATTATACATACGCGGCCTGTCTCCCGCAACCACAGCAGACACACACACACACACAGTTTTTCTCCCTTATTTTTGTCAAATGAATATGTATCACATAAACCAAAGTATACTCCAATGACAACCAATATGAGAATCCTACCATTTTCTGATCATCTTACCTTGATGATGACAATTACAAAATACAAGTTTCCTTAGAATCGATCCATTTTCTTTTTTCCATGCACCGCATGGACACTGTCTTCTCCCTCCCCGAGTCAGCCAGGGCTAACTTTCTGCAGTCTATAATGCAGTCCTCAGGCTGCTCATACATTTGTCTTTGGTCCTATGATTCCCTCTTATCCAAGTATGTGCATATGTACAATGCATATATATCTATATCCTTTTGTTGTTGTTATTGTGTGTTTCCTTGATTATAGGTTTGTTTGTTTTTTATGGTTTGTTTGTTTTTTTGATTCTGTGCAGTCGTTTGCTGTGCTTGGATGGATTGTTCAATGTAAGAATCAACCAAGCGAGCACCTCTTTGGGGAGTGTAGCTCAAAGGCTTTTTGACCAATATAGGAGTTTAGTATTTGATGTCAATGATAATGAGTAATTCTCAATTTTCCCTTCTCTGTCAATAACTATGTGGTTCTGTGAGTGTGTTTCTGTGTGTGAGAGATGGAGAGAGTTAGGTATTATATTTATTTATTTGTAAAGTTATTCATGTGTTTTTTGTTTTTGTTTTATATAGCCGAATTCCAGGACTGGCCTTCAAGAACCGCAGCTACCTTGAGCTGCAGCAACCAGATCTTCTGAGACTGGCATGGACACAAATACAGGCACAATTTTATCAGGTAATTAATTATAGCTTTATGAGATGAGTGTTAATTAATCATTGTTTGAAGTTGTTTGGGCTAATTATAAGGTAACTAACCTTTTTTTATATATGTTTTCACAGGAAGCAAGGATTAAGGTTTGCTGTTTGAAGACTGAACTGAATATATATGAAAAAAAAAAAATGATTGCTGAGGTTAATTATGCAGAAAATTGAACCAACCTTCTAAAGCCATTGTTTTGTTGCCTTGTTCACAGACTGCTGTCTTCATGGGGTGTAACAATGGAGAAATGGAACTTGGGTTCCCAAACATGTCTCAAGTAAGTAAACCATTTCTGATATATATTTATATAAATCAGACAAATACGTCTGTCAGATATGCTCATGAACTTTGATAATTATTTAATTTGCTGTGTGCAGGATGATATTCAGACAGCACTTAGGAATTGGTTCCCAGATGAATTTTCCAGATTACAGTCATCATCAAATCCGCAGCCAAACATTGATCAGAGTCAGAACCCACCTTCATCATCATCTTCTTCCTTGAGATCACTCTCCCTATCTGCAGGAAGCCCTGAATACTCATCCCTCCTGTTCAACATTCCTGGATCTTCCCCTCATTTCCCTCAAGATCAATCCCTCACAGCTTCTTCTTCTAGCTCACACCAGCAAGTCTTCCAAGCACTGGCTCAATCCACAGCACAGAGCAGTACATTCCCAACACCAGAAGGTGAAAATGATGCTATGATGAGAGCAATCCTTCATGTCCTTTCTACTAATAATCCTCCTCCTTCTACTCCAACCTCTCTTCTTCATCAACCCCACCACCGTCAGAATTTGCCTGATTATATGGTTCGTCCTGATCAGACTAGTGCCTTCAAGAGGTACAGCCCCATTATCCCGCGGCCTTCATCCCAAATGGGACCAGATCAGCTGAGGCAAAGTCTCTTTAAAAGGTCATTGACGTTCTTTAGAGGCTTGAATTTCATGAGAATGAGAGAAAGTGTTCAAACAACAACTCGTCCCAGCAGTACACAGCTTCATCACATGATTTCAGAAAGAAGAAGACGTGAGAAGCTCAACGAGAACTTTCAAGCTCTTAGATCACTTCTTCCTCCTGGAACTAAGGTAACCAATTACATGTGTATATTTACAGCAAGAGGATTAATCATCTAATGGAAACGTATTGATCAGTGCTTGCTATTTTTAATAATGGAAACGTAATAGATAATAATTATTATGCCTCGATATCATATGGTTAGCTATTTTGAATGTCACGATCGAGTGACGCTAACTTCAACAGATATTTTCTCTTTCGAGCAAGTCATCAAGCAGCTTCCAGGGATTATATATATTTCAAAAGCCTAAGACAATATGAATATGGATTTGTTTCAGAAAGACAAAGCATCAATACTTACAACAGCGAAGGAAGCACTGACCTCTTTAATGGCGGAGATAGAAAAGCTTAGAGAGAGGAACAAGCAGTTGGAGGTGGCAGCAACATCATCATCATCATCATCAATGGCGGCTCGTCCGGTAGCGAAAGAAGCAAGTGATGATCATGAAATCTTCAATGAGAGGTTAAATGTCAGAATTTCACACGAACTATCAGAATCAAGCTCGTCGGAACAAGAGAGAATCGCAGATTTGGAAGTGACAGTGAGGGGACAAAGTTCTCAAGTCGATATTCTGATTCGATTACTGGAATTTTTGAAACAGGATCAAAATTTGAGCTTGATTTCCATGGAAGCTAACACTTATTTAGCTCACGCCAATTCCTTCAACCGAATCACAATAAGGCTAAGGGTTGAGGTATGTTCATTTTTACGTAAAAACCTCATGAAATTACAGTATAGAAAATTGATAAGAAAATGATAAAAAAATTAAATATTAATATAAAATATAAAACAAACCATTCCATCAATGGAATATTTTTCTGAAATTCCGCCTAATGCACATGAGTTCAACTAGTTAATATAGTAGTTCGTGAAATCAATTTGATTAAAATTAGTGCAGTAATAATTAATACTTTAGATGAGGACAGTTGCAACACATTTAATTTAATTATCTTCTCAATAGTTTTATTTTACATGCTAGTTGATTGTGCACATAATATATATATATTAAGACCTTGATCATGTTAGGCTCACACTTAGAAATTGTCAATATAACATGTGATTGTTTACTTTTTTTTTGGATTTTATATAAAATTTATAATAAGCCTTATTATATATAAACGCAACTATGCATATATAATATAATTCACCTCAAGTTTGATGTAATATATAAGAGAACATGTCTAGTTAGATGTATATCATATACTGTTTATATCATCCCAATTTATAAGGCTTTTTTTTTTATAAAATTATACATATAAATGATATTCATTAAATAGGAGTAGTTTAAAATCTTAAAATTTTTATAAACTTTCAAAACTATCATTTAGTAATAAGAGAGAGGAGGAAAGAAAATTTATTTAATTAGTGAAATAGTGAGGTGTAATGGTAAAATAATCATCATTTATAAAACTTTATTTTTTGTGTGCAAAATATCTTATTTTTTAAGACATCAAATATTACCTTAAAAATATTGACCAAGAATATAAATAGAACAAAAGGACCATCCATTAATAATTAATTAGCTCTAAAAACTACAAGTAAATAAATAGAAATTAAAATAAGTTTTGCAGTTGATTCAATGCTCACTTTAATAAACATGACATTATTTGTTTTTTTAAAAAAACTAAAATAACAAAAAATTATCAACGATGGTCCGATGATGTCCAAATATTACCCTACACCCTATTAAATGTATACAAAAATAAAATAATAATGAATTACATAATCATACCCTACATTTTTATTACCATATTTATTTCAAAAACTATAGTCGTCGGGAGAGGATCAGATGGGACCTTAAAGACAAATTGATATGTATAATACCTAGTTTGTTTCTAGAATACTAAAATGTGGCTATTAGGTTTAGAATAATACACACACACACATACAATGAATAGTTAATCAATTTAGGAAGGAGGTGAGAAAGTGCGAACATGGTAGTTTGGTTTTGGTTAGGTGGCGTGGTGCCGATAAGAAGAGTCACAATCAAGTTGATAAGATCCAAAACGCATAATAATTCAACCAAATATTCAAAAAGTGGATTCTTTTTTTCCCAGCCGTCAAATAAGAATAACCAATTAACAACCTTTGTGTATTTGGATCATTATAATGATTTCTTCCAGATTTTGACATGTGACGTGATTTGAGACTCAGATAATTATTACTTCTATTGAATGCAAAGACCTGCTTTTAACCCAAAAGGCCTTGATTATTTGTATTATTATTTTTTTTGTTGTTTATTTTTTAAAACAAAAAATAATCTCATACATAGTGTTATTAACTAATTCAGATTTAAATTAAGTATAGCTTCAATTAAACCAAAAAATAAAAACCTCTTATAACTTTGTTTAAGAAGTGATTTCTCATCACTCAACACCATATCCATGTTATTCTTAAATATTTTTAATTACATTATTAATGGTGGTATGCTTATAAGTTATAATTGCACTTGAATTTCTTTTTTTTATGTGATATTAAAAATAGGTCAATTGAATTGATAAATTGTTGAATCAATATTTTAACTAGTTCACCAAAATAATTTATTCATGATGATCTAATTAATTGTAGTTTGACTATAATTTTAATGATTAATTTTTAAATCAGCATCTTAACTAATTCAGTGACATGTTGGATTTTCAACAGTTTGATTTTTTGAAACTAAATGTGGGTCCATGGTATTATGCCAAATCTGTATGATAAATCATATAATTGTTCATGATCCATAGATATTTGCTTTTTATTATTTTTATGTGCTTGAATTTTTGACATCAAAAGCGAGATGTTTTGATTGCTGCAGGGAAGTGAATGGGACGAGTCTGCCTTCCAGGAAGCAGTGAGAAGGGTGGTTGCTGACCTGGCACAGTAACTTACATCTGGTCCAATAATCACATCCCACGTCATCAGTCATCTTCTATAACTTACTCCTCAATTTTTTTTTTATTTTTAAAACAGCAGTTTGCTAGAGATGGATTTTGAGGATTTATAATCGTTACCAATTAAATCAATCTTTATTAGATATTTATATATTATTAGTTGGGCTCTCAACCAAATCTAGGCATGTATTTATATTTTATTATCATTTTGTTCAAATAGGGAATAGATTCTTAATTATTAAATACATGTGTACCTTGTATTTCCATATATTCTGTGGGGGCGCTGCATTACGTTGACTCGAGTGGATGGGACCCACCGCTTTTCTTTTTGGAATGAGATGCTGTATTAATTTTATATATTTAATTAAATGAAATATTTTTTAATTCGAGCAAACGTGTAACCTGTCAGTGCTTATTATAAAACACATCCTAAAAAATGGATTAACATAAAATACTTCACTGAATATTAATTATATTTTTTTAATATTATTTTTATTTAAATTTATTAAATATGAGAAAAAAAATATAATGAGAGATTGAAAATTTTCTATTTGAATATAGATAACTCAATCATCTTTTTTATTATAATCAGACGATTAAAGGCATCTTATAAAAAAATACTGAAAAGAGTATTTTTTATAAAAAAATTAAAATTTTAAGTAACTTTTTTAAATTATAAAATAATTATCAATATCATGTGGTGTAAACCAGGGAGAGTATATCAGAGCAGCACCAAGGATATAGGATACTCTTTGTCCGAAGGTAAAAATAATTTCTCTTTTCATTTTAACTTATAAAATAATTTTAAAGGTATTTTATCATTTCAAAATATAAAATAATTTAAAAAAATTAAAATTTTATTAATGATAATTTTTTATTTTATAAAAAAATTAAAATAATATTGTAATATAATAATTAAGCTTGTATGAGCATTTTTGAAGATTTATAATTTTATTTTAAAAAAAATTAAATTTATAAAATATTATTATTAAATGTTATTAATATGTACTATAATTTTATCTGTTATAATTTGAGACACAGACAATATCATTAAAAACAAAACCAAGGTGTCATGTCATGTCCCCTGTTTTGACTGCTACTTAAGAAAGAGAATAATAGAGAGATTATTCAAATTCAATTATTCAAAGAAGGTCAAACTGTTTTTTAGTTTAAAAACTTAAAAGTCATTAAGGACCTTTCTATGGGTGCGTCAGTTTGTGGCCCTCATGCAATTCCACGTCATATATATATTTATATATTTAAGAGTTGCTTGGTTGATAATATAATTAACACAAATTGTGTCCTAAGTAGCCACACAGTGATTGGGACTCCTGTTGTTAGTCAATCAATTTTCTTTGTGGAAATTTCTAACTCTACTTTTCAGGCGGCGCGTTTGACTGCGCCTAATCAAACTTAACACACACAAAGGGCAAAACATATCTGTCCTCTTCAGGCTTGATAAGATTAAATTATACATTAATAAGTAGTGCTACTAATTAAGTGCTAAATAAAAAAAATAAATAAATTTCATTCAAATAGTTAAATGACAAATAAGTACTATTCAATGTGATAATTACTTTAAAATTTTTAGGAACTTATTTAAGATTTTTTTTGTGAATTATGTTTTTAACCCTAAACAAATTAATAAAAAGCATGGAAAGATAAAGTCTCTGGTATATGAAAACTAGTTGTTATTACATGATTAAATTGAAGATCAACTATATTATTAATACTTAAACTGAAGTTAATTACTAAGATAAAATTGTTAATATAGAAAACATATTTGTTATTGTATAATTAAATTAACAATCAATATAACCCCTAATTCTCCTCTAGCCAACCCTGTAACAATGCTTGCTCTAGACTCATTTTTTTTAACTTGAAGGCCACAGGTAGATCATGTAATTGACAAGATGAGTCATGTCAGCGTATAAGATATTACAACAACTAGGCGGTGGGATATCGAAGATACGAATACATAAATTGTTGGTGTAAGCTAGATGATATAACCAATCAGCACATTTGTTTGCCTCCCTGAAAGTGTGATCGAACGTGATTGTCCAATCTCGCATAGTGAGATCTCTGATTCTATTAATAATAGCAGTGAGTGGGTGGATAATAGAGAACTCATTATAGATTAGCGAGAGAGTTTCTGTAGAGTCAATGTAGATATTAACTTTCTCGAACTTCTCAACATAGCAAATGTTAAAACCTTCCAGGATGCCCATAAGTTCGGTAGCTGTACTTAGGTAATAATCATGGTATTTGAAATAACTTTTGATCCAATTTCCTTAGTTGTTTTGGATAAGACCCCCGCATTTAGCTACATCGTGAATGTTGATGGAGCCATTAGTATTCAATCTAACCCAACCTCCAGACTCATTTTACTATGACAATGAATAGTTGAGGCTCGAAATTAACTAATGGCTCCTTCTCGGCTTTTATACCCTAGAACGAATTGCTTTGCTTCCTAATAAACCATAACTTAATTAATTTTGTACTATTTTTAAAAATACATAATACTGGCCATTGGTTAATAGGTAGGATTTTGTTGATGACCCATTTTGTCCTCAAGTCAATAGTGAGATGTCCCAATTACTCACGGTTAAAAGAGTGCATGCCTCATGTACAACCCTACATATGGGTTGAAGCAGGCTAACTTAGATGGTCAGTGTATGGTTTATCGAGCTGCTTGAGTTCATCTGCCTGTTAACTTCAACTTTGTGAGGCTGGGTTTTATCCTTGGATTCAAACCGTGCTTCCCTTCATTTTCTCCCTGTTTTGAAAATTATCTCTCCTATCTCATTTAATTCTTCTTTGACCAACTACTCATCCTTTTGTTGTTCTAAATCAACGGCATAAATGCTAAAGCCCTCTCATCATTGGCTGGAGCTATTCTAGGGCATTCGATTAGTGTACGTTCTTGAGTTGCTTAAGTCTCCTTGGTTTCTTGCTTTAATGGTTTCTCCTTGAGTCTCTTCATTTGAAACGTACAGCGTAAATGCATTTATTGCTTCATCGGTAACTATAAGTCTATGTTTGTCACTCAATTTTAATAGTGTGAATCTTTTAACCCTTTGATATCAGCGGCATTGTCTTGACCTCAACGGTCGTCGATAACCCCTATTCCTCACTTGTTGTAAGAAACTATATCTCTTTCTCTTTCCCTCTTACTCTCTTTACCCTGACTTCCCTAAAATAATTTATCCAAGTGGATACTATAAGCTCTTATTTAGATCTTACATTCTATAATATTATAACCTTTGGTGAGACATGTGGCCTTTTACTCATACTCTAATAGCTCAAATGCTTCTTATATTACATATATAGGTAAATGGAATTGTTGACAAGTCAGTGAGGTTGGAAGGGTCACGACCTATTTTGAAACTAAGTTTGCATTTAATCAATCTGTGGAGTAATTGGCTATTAATGGAGTGCTTATCTTGGATGCTCTTGCCAATAGCCTAGTTGGGAAGTGGTATGCTTATTCGTATATTAAGCTTTATTTAAGTGAAAAAAATGGTATGTTCCTAAGCTTATTTTCTTTCTTTTTATTTTGAGTTTGTTTTTATGTGTCACTAAATCACTATACTTAAGTTTCCTATTATTGCTTTTGATGGAAAAAGTTTTTTTTTCCTTTTCTCTTTTTTATTTGCTAAAATGTTTTGGTGTTCAATTGGGACCTTTTGAAAATTTTCAGTCTCTTTGCTTTCATCTTTAATGTGTGCAATTATGTTAGAACAACTCAATTTTTGGATCAAAGCTTCCTTTATTTCAAGCATGTATTACTTGTCAAATTGTAAATTGGGTAGAACAAGGTTGTCAAAGCAATAGAATTGAGATGCCTATCGAGGGTGTATTGTGCATTTTGCAGACAACCACTCCTACTTTTCTAATGTCTCTTCTTCTTTTCATTTTTTCACATGATTCTACTCAATAAACACCTTAACTGTAAGTATTACAACAGCTATAATTATTAAAATTTGTGTCAGATTTCTATGCTAGAATGCTCATTTCTTTCATTTCATTGGTAGCTTACTTATTCAAATCAAAAGTAATGGTCCCTACTATCTGCATCCTATAAATTGCCATATATATTCTGTTCCAACTTATAATTCTTTTTTTTTGTGATAATATTATCTCTTTTTCCGTGCTCATTTTTTGTGGCAACTTTTGTCAATTAAAAGATTAAGTTATACAAATCTCAAAAGTTTGTAACCTCAAGGAAAGTGCATGGTTGTGATTATTTTAATTAATTAAGAGGATTTCACATGAATACATTACCTTTCATTTTATTCATTGATTGTCTCTATGTCCAACTATACTTTGAGATTTATTGTTATATACCTCTTATTTTATAAGGAGTATTACTATTATGATAACCTTTGTAATATTTCCCCCTTCATGTAAATCTTTATCTTTTTGTTGATCTTATTCTTATATGTTCAAGTCCATGAGTAACTCTTTTTTTCAAACATAAATGGTTAGGGCGTTTGTCTTATTAGTTGACATTTGTTTTATATTTTGTTGCATATGTCAATATAACACATGTTTGAAAATTTAGGTTATGTATAAAAAATTAAAAGAAAGATCAAATTTAAAAAAAATAGTTATTATCTAATTTAATTTTAAAAATCAACAACAATTACTTATAACTGATAGACTTCCAACTATTTCAATAGGCTTAGTGGAAGAAATTTTTCTTATTGTAATTTGTACCCACATTAAAGTGTAATGCTTAGTTGTTACTGTTTTAATGTATTTTGAGTTTTCCTTGTACTTCACTTACCCTTATGCATTTCCAAGTTTAATTCTCAAGAGTTTATTATTTTCAATTTTGAATTTCCCTCTCATTGCTCATAGATTCTCAATTATTTTTCAAATTCTTTAATATATCTTCTACATGCTTATTGTTATGTCAACTTTGTGAAAATATTGCAATTTGTAAGATCTCATGTGATCTGTTTTACCTTTTTGTACAACCTACACTTACATGTCAGTTTTGTGGGAGTTTATGGTAGTTGACTTTGATTTTACCTTGAGTTACTTTTAGCTAAACTTCTTCACTTTTTATTTTATTAGTTATCATTTGTTAATTCATTTTTCTATGTCAGTTGCAATATGGCAACATATAATCTACCATAATAGTGTCAAAACACTCCCTTCAACTTTGAAAAAACTTCCCCTGTACGTGATCGATCTTCGGCAACAATGAGTAGTCATGTCCTTTGTGTTTTCTTTTGTAAGGTTATTGATATAGTGTGATGATTTTCTAATAAAGTCACATAAGGTGCCTCCTTTGTTGTGCACTATGATGACATTTCTTTTAATACTATGTTGAATTGATTTCCTTTATTTATATAAAAAAACTCAAAATATATAGCTACTCAAAGTTACCATTGTGTGGTGATTACATTGAAGGGATTTTGAGATTGAATGTTGAAGGGATTGTAGTGATCATGTTTTGTTGCTGTTAAAATAGGAGCTATTTTTGTAACTCGACCCTTCTTTTGATATGTTTGCAAGGTCAATTTTAATTGTACAAGTTTGTTCAGTGATTATGCTATGTCAAGTTTAGGGAGAGGAAAATGAGATAAGAAGTTGAGTAGTATTTACTCATGTTGTAATAGTATGGGTGCCAATGTTTTTCAATTTACCGAACATTGATATATTATTAATTACTAATCATGTTTTACTTAAAATGTGATTTTGTGATAGTTTTTACTCTCATGCAATGTATGAGAGTTAGAATCTAGTTATGTTTTATATATTAATAACTTTATTTTTGTTATTAACAACACTAGTTTTGGTATAATAACTATGCTTTTTATCATTTTGATTAGAGTTAGAAATATAATTTCACAAAAAAATGATGTTAGATGTATCCTTAAGGACTTCAAAGTGATTATCGCATTTCATGGTATTCGTTTGTCACGCCGATCTTGATGGGATTTATTTGTCAATTTTTCAATAAAAATCCGCTACCTTATAAAAATTTTGAAATCTTAAAAATATAAGTATAGTTTTTAAGGAAAAATTATTTCAACTAGATAAGTATGTTGATAGATGATACTACTGTCTGTCATTTTTTTGATCGGGAATTATAATATGTTAATATGTGAAAACACACTACGTTATGAAGCATTAACACTTGAAAAAAATAAACCCACTTGTATTTGATATGTCTCTAATACTAAACACGAGAAATATTTAGATAGATTAAGTATATCACATTATTTATAGTCTGTTTAATAAAATACTCTAAGTAATTTAAATAAATCTTCTGTGATATTTTTAAATTAATTTTATTTTTATAACAAAATACACATTTAATTTCTTACCATTTCTCTCTCTACTTTATTAATATCAAAATTAATTTATATTTAAGGTCATCAAAATGTTATATTTTTATTGGACAGATCACAAATGATGTAATGTACCTGATTTACTTAATATTTCTCTACAATACACTTCCTTTTTCAATATACATATCACATCCTCAACCATTTATATTAACGTAAAAACTTAAAACATGATTACTATATATTTTGGTTGGTTATTATAAAAGTTATTTTATTACTTGTCTAAAACTCAAAATACTCGTACCTATGCCTTAAAAAATCCAAATATAAACACACACACACATACACATATATTCTCATACCAGTATGCTAAAATTTTAAAAATGATCATATTTTAAATTATATCCGATGCATATTATATTAGTGCTTCTTAGAATAGAATACAACAAATCAAGAGATATTTGTATAAGAAATTCTTTTAATAAATCCAATAATATATAAAACTAATAACAATAAATAAAGGATTAAATGACATTTTTACCTCTCAACTATTCGCTCATGAACATTCTATATCTAAATTTATATGTGGTGCAATTTTGCCCTTCGACGTTTGAAAATTGTGCATTGGACACTCCACCATTAAAAAAGTTAATTTTAATTATTATTAATAAAATAAATAAATGAGTGTTAGTTAGTTGTCAAATAAGTACGTTATTTTTCAACTAATCATCAAAGTTATCATTTTTAACAGTAAGATATTCTATACACTATTTTAAATATTGAAGAGCAAAGTTACATCACATTTAAGTTTAGAATACAAACACTCCTAAACAAATAATTGAGGAATGAAAATGTCTTTGACCTATAAATAAACATGGGATAAAATTAAAAAAAGATTAACAAATCTAACTTTTTGTTATATTTAGTACGCGAAGTATATGTGCGTGTGGAAACATGGGGCTAGCTTAATTCTTTAGGTTCATAGGTTTTATTATGCTATTCTTGTGACGAGTTTCCGTGGTCTTCTTTTTCCCATGGGTTTGATTATGTTTGTTCTACCTGTGGTTTTGTTGCTAGTTTTGTTAGTTTGGGTTTTGCGGCATGTAGAGTGGTTTTGTCTCTTTTATGTTTCTTTCATGTGGGGACTGCTTGTTCATGTGCACACAGTGTGACCTGTTTCTTCAACGAATTATACGTTTCCCAAAAGGGGAAGAAAGAGGAAAATTTAACCAAGAGTTCTCAATAATTTTAACTTAATTATAATTTAATTTTTAAATTATAATTTATTATAACTTAATTTTTATAATTTTAACTCGTCCTTATGTTATAGGAAATAACTTTAACCTTTACAGTTTTATTTTCTAAAATATGAAAATCAATATTTTAAATAATTAAAATCATTAAGGACTGACTTACACCAAATTAAAACTTAAAAACTGAATCACAACCAAATCAAAATTATAAAAACTAAATTATAACACATCAAAATTTAAAAATTGAATCACAATCAAATCAAATTTAAATTATAAGGATTAAATGATTAATTTTTTTAAAAAATTAACCCATCCATTAGCCTTCTTTTCAACAAATCAAAAGTAAATACATCAAATCCCCACGCCACTTCAATTCTACTATCACACCGAACCTAACATGAGGAAGAAGAATCGGAGGGATATAAATATGCAACATTATACATGAAGAGTGATATCCTCACAAATAATCTGCAATGGCTCAATAATTAACTTACATTGATAACCCATATCAATTCACACTTTTTTGTCCTCCATACAAAATCTGCGCATGCCATGAGTAATTAGGCACATGAATCAATGACCAAATAATTCCATTAGTGGTGACAACGTACAGTAAACATTGGATTTGTATCCTCTTAATTGCAAAATTGCTCAAGGACATAGATGGACATGGAATAGATTCCACGTGAGGCCCACAATGACAGGCAGACCCCAGATCTATTCCTATCTCTTCCCTAGAGTTAGGAATACAGGTTGACCTGAATAACTTGCTAGCTGAGTCAGGTTGTTTTGCAAGAACATTGACCCAGATAAAAATGAGATTTTTTAAACCTTGACCATTTAGGCCTTGAACAAAATGGGCAATCAAGCAACTGAGAGGACTAATTGATAAAAGAGGGATGTGATTCAGAGCCAGAAGCATTTGAGGATTTTGTTGCTTAAGGCCATCCCCACAAGTATACGGAAACCATATAGGATCTAATCCAAGCAATGAAGATAAAGTAGAAGCATACTTTGGGAGCATCAGCAAAATCATACTTCTGCAGCAGCAGCTTCTTCATCAGTAGAATAAGGTGACGCAACTTCTGTAACATCTCCATCTGTCACCCCTGCTTCTTTCTCAGCAGTAAGAAGTTTCTCCCTCAGCTTCAGAGTAAGTTCTTCTAGTTCACTAGGGTTGCCAGCCAGGAACTTCTTAAGAGCATCCTTACCATGGAAGTTCTGGCCATTGTAGTTGAAAAATGAACAAGACTTGGAGATAAACTTATGTTTTAAGCTCAGATCTATGATCTCTGCTTCTCTGCTTATGCCCTTGCCAAACTCAAGCTCAAACTGTGCAGTTTTAAATGGAGGGGCAAGCTTGTTCTTCACAACCTTGACAAGGAGCTGGCTTCCTAAAGTCTGGCATAGTATGCATGGTAAACATAATGAAGGAGGGAAACCCATAATCATATGAAAAATATCAAGCGCTAAAAATATTGATCCTATGATGTTTAAGATAACTAGCGAAAGCCATTAGGTTCAACATAGATCAATCTCAAATCTAGTAATCACAGAAGTTAATGTCTCAACATTGCTTTACTCCTATATCCATCAAAAGGCACAGATGCGTAAATGGTGAAAATACCAAAATGATGTTTCATATTATCATCTATACTAATAACTGGAATTCTGACTCGTTGCAAGGGATACTTATAATTGGATAGGATCTTTGTTTTTTTTTTTTTTTTTTTTTGGGAAAAAAGGAGTTTAGAGGGGGGAGGGAAAATTTAGATTTAAAATAAAAAATAAAAAAGGGCATGGAGACCAGAATAAAGTTGAATCTGTTGGATGAGGATAAAATCAATCGAGAAATTAGCAGTAAACTTGACAACCACTGATTTTTTCCATAGAATTACAATAGAAGAAGCAATATTTAGTTGCAAGTTAAGCCAAACCTTACTGATCACAGCAGACAATTAAACTATTCATGCCCATTTAACACTAGCACTTGAACAGGCAAATCCAAACAAAGGCGGCAAGGAGGCAGAGGAATAAGCATATTTTTGTACCTCTTCTCCCTTCTTAACAAATGCTGTTCGCTTGATATTTAGCCGCACTGAAGCATAGAATTTCAATGCATTGCCACCACAAGTAACATCAGTTGGCCCACCAAACCCCCCGAAAGTAGAAAGCTTTGACCTCACCTGTAGCATACAAGAATCCTCTACCATTGAAATATAATAAAAGCATCTCTCAGTTAATTTGAACAAATCCAGATTGCTCAGAGTATATCCCAGAACATATATCTTATGATCTTATCTACAGAATATCAACAATACTTTCTCATACAAAGATCAGGAAAAGAACGTTATCCACGTCAATAGTATCCACTACAAGTAACCAAAAGAAGAGAGATAAAGATTATCACTATTGAAGAAGTTTTGTCCAAACAAAAGACATTTTAGGATACCATATGTTCTCAGCAACTCTTGCAGAGGTTCCTTCCTATCAATTAATAGCTCATGTTTTTTATATCTAAGATTTAAACAGAACATTGTATATTGATAAAGATAAAAACATGGTCTGTTAATTAAAAGGGCAGAGTAACAGATTCACCAGGAAAGATCAGAAGCAGAACAAAACTAGAGAAAGGGGGGAAAGGGTTCAATAAACAGAAAAAGAATGGATCAAAGCAGCTGCCAACACAAGTGAAGTACAAACTCAACCGATACCTGGAAAGTGAAAACGATACTGGCTCAAAGCATTTATAAAAACTTGGACCAAGAATGAGCAGATGGCAAACAAACATAAACAAAGATTGATATAAATATTAAATTGACCAAGACTAAGTAAATATAATTAAATCTACACTCTGCACTTTGACTAGCAACAAAATAATGAAATTGAATCCACAACTACAGCTGGTACCTGGTTTATAAAAATCAATATACAATGGGACATTGACAAAGAGTGGCACAATTTTCGAAGTGCCTGGCTCATCAACCTAGCCTGCATTGCCATGTGAGCATCACCCATATCACCATCAAGCTCACCTTTAGGAACAAGAGCAGCCACCTATCATTGGACACAACAATAAGTTAGTACACTTATATCCAAGAACTATAAAATATTCCATTCAATGAAAAACAATTTAAGGAAATGTAAACCTTACAATAGTTAAAAAGGCATGATAAACAGAAAGAGGGGAAAACTAAAACAACACAAGCAGTGAGAACATAAGTCCATAAAAGAAACTTTAATAGGCAGCAAGCAAGATTCAAATTCAAAATATTGAAAATAGCAATATCTACAATTGAAATTAAAGGTAAGGTCCTATTGCAATTCTTAAAACAACTCATTTCTTCCATAACAGTATAACCATCACATACTTCATTCTCACAGTCAATAATTTTGCACCATATTGAAGTGCGATGCAGATAATAGCAGAGACATGCAAGCAATGATACTAAAACAACCCACAAATTAGAGAAGAGTATGCTACAGAAACCACAAATAATACTTATAATAGCGTAGCAGTGAGTTTAGTTACTTGCAAAAATCAACGACCAAGCAAAAAGAATGAAAAAAAAACAAATTAAAAAAATAAATCTGCATACTTACACTGTCAACAACAATTACATCAACTGAACCACTTCGAATTAAGGTATCAACAAGACTAAGTGCTTGTTCACCACAATCAGGTTGAGAGAGAAGCAAGTTCTGAGTATTTACACCAATGGACTCTGCGAGTGTTCTATCAAGTGAATGCTCGGCATCAATAAACGCACAATAGCCTGCATAAAACAAACAAACACAAAATTCTAAAAAAGATACTCTGGCATGTTGATCACACTGATTAAAATTGCAGGCCTCCCATCTTCATCATAAAGGAACAGGAAAAGAAGTCTAATAAATTGAAAGATCACTAAAAATACTTACCATGTAAAATTTACAAAATAAAGAGGGAACCGATAAAACAAGTGTGCCTTCTTTTTCTTTGTTAAAGGAAAAAAGAAAAATAGGCAGAAAAAGTTAGACAACTGGAATTCTGCTGGCACCAATAAACTGTTTGCATAGTATGTTAAAGCAGTGATAGAATAGATCAAACGAGAAATCAGGTTTTAACCAACAATTCAACGCCTTACAATAATGTTGGTCAAATGGGAATTCTATGAAACTGATTTACACATAAATTTATTAGTCAAAAAACAGCTGCATCTATCCAAGTAATTACATATCGAGAGAAAGGAAGGGGGAAGATTAAAGCAATTGTGAATTGTGCTGACAACATTAATCAATACAAAGAATGGTCACCATATTTACAGTAATAATAGTCCAAACAAAGCATATAAAGCAATAAATATTTTAAAAATGACTGCAGAAGTAACATATAAAGATAACCTCCTTGCTTCTGCGCTTCTGCAATCACATGTAAGGCCAGAGTAGTTTTACCAGAAGCCTCTGGACCGTATATTTCCACAACACGTCCCTGTAGATATCACACTGAAACATATTAATCAACGTAAACATATTGCACACTGCAAAATAGTGTTGGCTCTTTCACCCCTCCTTCCTATATACACAAACCAATTTTGCATGTGAAAACTGAAAGGTACACTGTTTCATTTCCCAAACTATTTTTCCTCAGAGCAAACTATAAAAGCCAAATTTTCAATTATGAAGATTTATCAGTGAAGACAATCATATACAATTAGCAGCCACTAACATTTTTAAAGACTATTCATATTGAATGAAGAGAAAGAACTTCTTCAAGCAAGGATCTAATGATACCTTTGGAAGCCCACCAACTCCTAGTGCTATATCAAGAGCAAAAGAACCAGTCGGCACTACAGGTACAGATACATGTTTTTCAGAGACAGAGCGACCGAGCCACATAATAGATCCCTTTCCATGTGCAGAAATGATCTGATCCAGAGCTTGTTGTATGGCCAACTCTTTCTTGGACATATTTTCTTCGCGTGAACAACTTCCATCTGATTTTGACCCCCTTTTACCTTCAAGCAGACCGAAATAAGAGCTATCATCATCCTCATCATTATAAAATCAGAAAACTCAAAGGGCATAAAGAGACCATGTTAACAGGGAGAAAAAGCAGACTTGAGTCTAATATAACGTCATTGCGATGAGTCACACCAGGTTCCTTTGACAAATTTCGAAGACTTAAAGTGGCCCCTTTGTTTCATGTTTCATGTTTGGCATAATTAATTGTGCAATATAAAATAACCCATCAAATTCATTTTCGTTTTATCATCAGCTAAAGATACGGGGAGGGTGGAAAGCTAAAAGCATCCTTCAACAACCTCGAGTTGAGAAGCTTAAAATTTGCGACGTGCCCAATAATCCATGTCTATAGCCCTGGAAAAAAATTAACAATTAGTAAGTATATCATTGATTATGCATCAAAACTCAAACTCGAAAAGAAGGGGGAAGAGGGAGACATTATCTTACATAACTCACAAATGGCCATGATATTTTTTCCTTGAAAAACAAAAAGGCATATATTCCTGAGAGAGGCGATTTAGGAAATAGCTTATCCTCGAGTACTATATTAGATTTTCACGACGAAACAGTTCAAACAAACCCGTCCCTAAAAAGGGGGGAAATGATAACAAATGGGTGACCGAGCAGCAGCAGAATCCCTCAAGAGAGAAGGTACAGAAACAAGGAAGGGAACGAGGGGGCAATGCAACATTTCTTGTGCAACAAATTATAGCCAAAAACGAATGTCGAATGAGAGAGAGTCGATTGCCATGCATAAAGATAATGTAGAAGTTGAAGAACAAGAATATTCAAGCAAAAAAAAAAAAAAAGCTGTACCATCGTAGTAACGTCATTGCCGAAAAGAGAGCTCCGCAGAAGGTAGGTTTTACGAAGCAGCCTGGACATAGTATGGTAGCACCCTGCAGATTCTGACCTCCCAACCTCACAATAAGACCAAAAGGACAGAAACTTTCCTGAACATTAAACAATGAAATGAGCAAAAGAAGCTGAAATTTCACTCGTGAACAAGCTGACCGTGAGTCACTCGGACAAAACTACTGCCGCGTTTTTTTTAGGGTTTTTGGGTTTTAATTAATCAATTTTCCCTCCATTTTGAATAGCGGTGGCGCGTGTCGGAGAGTCGCAATTCTCGAGAGTAAAGTCATGCCCGAAGGAATTCGAAGAAAATATATAATTTTTTATTTTTTATTTAAAAATATTCAAATATATGTGTGTGTGTAAATGAGTGAATGAAAACAAAAAATACCCTTAAAATATGTAAATAATAATTAAAGATAATGTATCACAAAATGTGATAGTTATTATTTATCCTTTAAAAACTTATCTAACATTTTAATTTTTAATAAGATATTATATTTGCTTTCAATAACTGGTGTTATTTTTTGAATACAAAAGACAAGCATAAAACTTGAAAAAGACAATAGTCCTTGAAAAAAAACTTAAAACCTAAGAATTACATTTTATTTTTTGAATACAAGAGACAAGCATAAAACTTGAGAAAGACAATAACCCTTCAAAAAAACTTAAAACTTAAGAATTATATATAAAAGAAAGGATTAAGCTTTCCACCATAAACACTCTACAAGCTCAATAACTATTCTGCAATAAGAAATGATTATTTAGTTGGATTATTGACTAAAATGAAATAAAAATGACTATTTTTTTAGTAAATTTTTTTATTACTCAAGTGCGGGTGCAAAAAATTGATGACTATTATACATTGAAAAATAATTACTTTGATTGAGCTATTGACAAAACAAAGTAGAAAATGATTAATTTTTTTATACAAATTTGTAATTTATAAACGGATTAAAAATAATTTCTTTTTTTAAATGACTATTTCAATTATGTTTGATTGATGAACAATTTTTTTTTTTTTGTTAAGTAATCATTTTCTATTAAGAAATGCATCCCTTTACTTGATCAAACCCCAACCAAGCTGTAGCGTGAATGCTTTATTCTGTGCCCTCACATGCCTCAATCCTAAACCACCAGCTTCCTTCTCTGTGCACATTCTTGCCTGACACTCCTAGATGGGCAAAACTCATTTGCGTTCTTACCATTCCATACCAACTATATTGGATAAAAGAGCAAATCGTCCCTCAATTTAGTCTCTACTTTTAACAACGTTTAATTTTAACTATTAGTTAATTAAAAAATGACCTGAAAGATTACAAGAACTTGATTATTTTCTGTAATTTTTTTAATTCTTGCCTATAATTTTGAGTCATTTTTTATATTTTTTGAGATTATTTTCTATCATTTTTCAATCAACTAATAGTCAAAACTAATTTCTGTTAATAGTAAGAATCAAATTGCACTATTTAAAAAAAAACATTACATTAAAAGTAAGTTTAGGATTTTAGATATTCATGAACCCATAATTTAAGTATCAATTTTCCCTTTTACCCTTGCATATTTTGTATAGTATCGAGAATTAAATTATGTAATTCATCTAGTAAGCTGAGCAACATAGAAAATAAAAGATTTTGTAAATAAAAAAAATCAGTATATATCGATAGACATAATGTTAGTACTAGCTTTATTTAAAAATTGCAAAGAAAGAATAATTATTATCTATATTAGAAGCTGAATATATTAACTCTCCAGAGGATGACAATGAAGTCTTAAAACATACTCCCTTTATTAAAAAAGTTAAATATTCAAAAATATAAAATATTTTTAATCTTTTAAAGTATAATTATTATTTTTTATAAAAGTGCCCTTATTGAATATATCATTTTTTATTTCTTTAGGATGTAAATAGCAATAAATATAAAAATATAAGATTAGTTTAAAAATAAATAATTACTTTATTGAAGGGTGAGATTTAATTAAAAATACTTTATATTTTTAAATGAATGAAGTAAAAATTATGATAATTAAATCTCTAACAATTTTTTTTAAAAAATAAGTTACAAATATTAATTCAAGTAGTTGTAAATAGGAATCTCAACTGTAAACTAAAAAATTATATTTAAAATTTAAATATCTTATTTACAATTAGAACTCCTAAATTTATAATTATTTGAACTAACATTTATAACTGATTTTACAGAATTTTTTATCAAAAACCTAACTATTATAAATTTATTATTTTAGGATTTTAATATTATTTTCTATCATTTTTTCTTTTATATGGACTAATCCTGTTAAACTTGATTATACTTTAGGGTTTCATTTTGACCAATCCTGAGTTTCCATTTTTTAATTTTGAAATCCAAAAAATATATTTAAAATTACAAAAAAATTATTACACATAACATTTAGTTTAAAAAAATAAATTTAAGACAATCCATACAACAATAAATTTAAATCTAATAAAAAATAGTAATATTAGCTAAATTTTGATGATCTTTGTTGTTGTCAACATCAAAAATTTTGATCATTCTCCCTAATTGAAGTTTAGAAGATTGATTAAAGGGAGAAGGAATGAGAAAAAACTTAACGGCCGAATGAAATGAAACTAGAGTTTTAAACTTTTAGAGATATTTAATTTTTTTCATATTAAAATTTTAAGAAATATACATAATGGCTTAAAAAGTTTGACGCTTTTATTTTACAGCTTAAAAAAAATCGGTCCTTTTAAATCCAATTATCATCTTATATGCCACAATAGCAACATGGCCTTGTATTTTTTTTAGGCTTAAAAAGATCTGCCCAACAAGCTCAACACTTATTGACCACTCTTAGATCATGCACCGACGCAAGATGGCTGTGAACCTCTGTTCAATTTCAAAGATGGTGCATAATTTTACCAAAGTCATTCAATTCACACATTTATTCTTTTATTTCACATGTAACATTTTATTCAAATTGTTTGCTCCATGGCTCATCATGATTCTCATCAGAAAATGCAAGATTTTCATCATTGATCCAAAATCCAAATGTTCAAAAAGTAGCAACTTGTCCTTAGGAGTTTCAAATTTGAATTCCCCGGCAAGAAAATATTCTATTCTCTCCTTTTTTTTAATAATAAGAAAAATTCAATTCTTTCTATTTATAATACTTTAATCATGTTTTATCGGAACCGAAATCCTTAATACTTCTTAACTATGTTTAAAAATTTACTAACTTTTCAAGTTAACTCTTATTATATATATATATATTTTTTTTTTTTCCTTTTCCAAAATATACTAGAGAGTAAAAAAAAAGAAACCTTTAATAAAAAGTTAATAACATGACTTATAAATAAAACGAAAAACTTTTTTCTCTCTGTTTTATAAACAGGATTGAGAGTATATGCGGGCAGACAGAGACAATAAAATTAACTTTTATAGAAGTGTTCGAGATACAAATTCCAGCAATAATAAATCACATCTCTAACTATATCTAACCACATTCTCTGCAGAAAGATTTGGGAAATAGAAGAGAACTCTCAAAACCACTCAGATCATATAAGATTGAGAGAAAAATGAATAAATAACCATCAAAAACTGCTATCACCTGCACCCATTCTTGACCCAGCAGCACTCATTCAGGTACCTAAAGACAGCTACAAACTCAACAGAACAACCTCTGCTACTGCTGCTTGCACTCTGGAGGTTGCTCGCCTGGCTGACCTCCTACTTGCACTTTTCCACTCTTCTGAAGATATAGCAAATAAATTTGAATAAGTGCAAATTTCATTAAAAAAAACAAAGCCTGAGAAATTCAGCACCCAGCATCAAAAAGCATATTATGTTCATATTCAATTCGAAATGGGGCATCTAATATGAGTGTTGGACATGTATTTGGCATAATTGGCTTCTTTAAGAACTGGGGCTTCATAGGTAGAGAACATGAGTCAATATAACTTCATATTCTGTATCACATTGTGTTGTCTGTGATTAATACCATTTAATTTACATGTCGCAATTAAATGTTTTACCTTGTGTGCTGATGACTGCAGGCCGCATTCAAATTTCACACAGGAGAGGGTGAAGAAAGAAAATGATCATCAGTTCATACTAAACAGTTAATATAAACATTAAAAAAAAATAAAGAGAACAATATACAAAATACCTTCTTTTTGCTCTTTTTCTCTTCCTCATCTCCATCCTCATCCTCATCCTCCTCTTCGTCTTCATCCTCCTCTTCATCATCATCATCCTCAATGTCTTCATCATCATCCTCATCATCCTCCAGATCTCCAAACTCCTCTCCTTGAATGGCCTCCCCAGTAAACCATGATACAGCATGAGGAATGATCTTGTCTCTTATTGTGGACCTAAACAAAGAAATAACAATGATTCAGAAATTACACACTAGTATAAAAATGAATTATGACATATCAAAAAGGGAAATCCAGAGTTTGTCGAAATATATCAGAAAATCAACACTTTAGCAAATAAAACTATGATACAAATCACATGGTTGAGAGGTGATTAAGCTCACCCAATATCATAATCTTGTTCCATCTGGTTCTGAAGTTCCTCAGCCTGCTCCAATAGAAAATGATTAACATGAGAAAAAGAAAAGGAATCAAATTCTATAAGTTCATAGATTTTCTAGAAGGAACCATACCATATCTTCATCAATATCGTCATCATCTTCAGGAACCTCAGGTGGATTGAAAAAATTGAAGAAACTTTCACAATTTTCAGTTTTGGTAATTGGTTTAGCATTCTTTGCACCCTTCTTAGGCTTTTTCTTAAGCAGTTTCTGTGTCAAGCACTTTCCTGGATACCATTCAATTTCCGTCCTACAAGAAAAGTATAATAAACCAGCCTTAGTAACGTGGTTGCACTAGGGATTAGATGTGAATCAACAAAGAAAGAACTTACCCAATAGCTTTCTCTAGTATGGGTTCATCCTCATCAATCATATGATAAGTTTTGGTCAAGATAGAATTCTTAAAATAAGGGTTGGTATCGAAGAAAAACTCAAGCTTAAATCCTTTAGGGTTTTCTATCCGGCTCCACTTAATGTCTTTAAGATGCTTGAGCGCGCCTTCATCTCGCTCAGAAATCTGATAAAAGCAGTGAAGAGAACTGTTATAGTACCAAGACAGTGAAACTTAGAGGAAATAAATAAAATGTAAATGTAAAACACAATTGACTAACCTCCTCAGCTAACACCTCATTATTTTTCATTGCAGTGAGCCAGAAAACAGGTACACCTTTCTCTACACAAGCACACAAGTACATTTAAAAACTGAAACACCTACCAAAGAATGCAGTAAGCATTATATATGGTACCTTTCTCCTCTTCTGTGTTAGCTGCTGTTTCATTTGCTCCTCCTTCCACTTCAGTAACACCATTTATAATATCAAAGCGCTGTATTCATACTTTAAATGTTAAAAGATGGATATAACAAAATCAAATGTCCCTGAAATTCAGAAACAGAATTTTCTAATCCAGAATATGAGGACTTATCAATTACAGGTGAATAAAGAATGGACACAAAAATATTAAAATTGGTAGGAAATCAGCAAGTTTTTTTTTTTAATATATAGCCTTGTTAGCTAATTATGCATTTATGCCAACCATAATAAACCAGACATTCAAAGATAGATTTCTCATCTTCAATATTTACAACCACAGAATACTCAAAATACCTTTGCATACAAAGGTTGATACAAGTTTTGGTATTTTGCTTCTAGAGCTGCCCTTTCCTCAAAAAACTTTGCCTCTAATTCATCATGTTGACTCTGCAAGATGAGAAACCTTCATTAGAAGATTTTATGGACTATAGACAAAATGCCATCTCCATCTGAACAGATATATTATCAATGAACACAAATTATGATCCGTTTTCAATTTTCCATCCTGAATGAAATGTAATCACACATTTCAGCACAAACACCTCCGTGAGTTAAAGGTCAGATTTCTGAGGTCATAAAAAGTCCATGGACACTAAAATTCCTAGTTTTGTTCATTTATCAACTTTAACTCCACTACTCAATCAAATTTCATAAATTTCTTACCAGCTTACATCCAACTGTGTTTATAATCAAGTTATTGAACTGCGTTTTCCTGAATTTATGTCTACACACCATATCACAACCTTGCTTAAGCGGAATTACTGTATCAAATCAGCAAACAACAAAGCAATTTACACCTATTATTCCAAAGCATCTCTAAATCTATGTGAAAGATCTGATATTCACAATGGAGGTCAGTTAACAAACATGAGGAAGAAAACTAAACCCCAGTAAATTAGCATTATAAACTTGTTGTGCCTGTTTCAAGAGCGAGGACATGCCTGAATCTCTCTGAGAAACTCAACACGCTTCCGGACATTGGGCGATAGACTCTCCAAAACATCTGCGTGTTGACCAGCCAAACTCTGAATCTTATTCTGCAAAAGAAAATATCCACACCAGTCAAAGTCGAACCAGCGCGAAAATAGAATTTGATATTAACACCCTAACTCTTCATTATTACTAGCAAGGAACCAAAACCCAAGGTTCATGAAAGAGGAAAACAGCATTCAATTGACCATGACCCCCACAATCATCAAAAAAAGATGGGAAAAAAGAAGAAATGATAACAATAAAGTAATATAAGCTAAGTTTCCGAGAAACAGATAAATTTTCTCCTCCATCAGTTCCCCTAGGAGCAAACAAAACAAACAAAGCAAATAATAAACACTACCAGCAACTGAAAAGGAGTACACAGACCTTGAGAGCATTGACTAGGTCAGCTCGATCCTCCTCGTTAAGAGCTTCACGGAAAGATAAAGAACAGAATAAGAAATGGGAAAAATTCCAACAAGGAAAGAAGACGAAATACAAAGTGGGGAGAAGTGTTGTGAAGAGATGAGAAATGGTATGTCACCAGAGCTGAGATCCGCCATGTTGAGATTATGCTTGTCGTTGCTCATAGAACTTCGTTTGGGGTTATATCGTAAGATACGAGCAAGAAAAGCACTGGCCACACGGCAAGGTACAGCCAATTTGCCAAAACCCTAGAGAACAAGCAAAGAACATTTCTAAAGGAGGCTTTCCCCTCAAAAACTGAACTGCGTTGCTTTCTAAATAATTTTTTCTTAAAAAATGTTTTAATGTTTTATTTAAGAAAACGTTAGCGAGCATTGTAAATCCTGAATTGTCGCACAACAACATCTTAAGACTTAAATCTTAATAATAATTTAAAAGTTAGGGAAAGTTTTTATATTTTTAAGGGTTTGAGGTTTAAGATGTTAATTATACAATAATTTAATATTTAGAATGCTTGTTAATTCTTTAAAAAAGTATCTTGGCTGTAAAAATTAAAAAAAAATTATAAAATATAGGGTTAAAGTTTAATATTTATTAGTACTGTAATATTATAAAAATTATAACACGAGTAATAACAATAATGGGTAATTAAAAAATATTATATTTGTCGTGATCATGTCCTATTAAAGTGTTAATAATTATTTAATAATTAATAATTTAAATATTGTAAATATTATTTATAAATTTTCACGTATGATTTACAAGTCTTGTGGTTATGGCAATTTACAATTTATAACTTGACTAGTATAGTTGTTATCTTTAAATAACAGAAGTTATAAATTTAAGGAGAATTTGTAAATTATGTGTGATGTTTTATAAATTTAATAATATTTAAATTATTAAAAAGTAAAGTATTAATATTTTAATAGTATATTATTGAATAAATATTGGCCAGAAAATATTATTAAATTAATATTAGTTTTTATGATAAATAAATATTGGCACTGATGCTATGATTGTTGGTTGAAATGAAATTTTAATCGTTTATGTAGGTTGAAAAAATAGCCTTGGTTTACCAAAACAAATAGCCTTGATATCTTAACTTCTATTTATGATTTAGGACTTAATTAATATTTATTACCTAATAGATACTTATTTGTTATTTTTATAATTTTATAATTTCTAGAACTTTTTCTATAACTGAGTTTATTTAACTAACGATTAAATTAATAAACATTTAATATGAGGATCACATTACTTCGTTTTCAAGACATGAGATGTGATATTACCCAACTCCTTGATTTATGGTGCCTGCAATTGCATCTAAAAAAAAGTTGAAAACAAATGAGTACTTCAAAATTAAGTACAATTTAATGTTATTTCATTAATGCATTTTTATTTATTTAGTTTTATATCCTTTTTTTTGTTGATAGATGAAAAAAGTAACACCCTTGGCCCTGTTTGTTTAATAGGTGGCATTGGAATGTTGGGATTAGGATTGAATTAGCCTACCAACATAATGTTTGGTACAATGGATTAGCTCTTACTTGGGATTGATGAAACCCATTTAAGTGAGATTGAAATAATCCATAGAGGAGGCAGTATTGAAAATTACTCTTAAATTTGAAACTTTGCATACCAACATGCCCTCCCTTCTCATCAAACCTTCATCAAACATCACCTCTATCTCCTCCTCCATCCCTTTGGTCACCTTTTGCTCCCTTCTCAACGTGGGTGGTGTAATAACCCAAGAATTTAAGTAAAAAAAAAAAAGAGGGGTAAATATACAAATTGGTGTTTTAATTGTAGTTATATTAATTTTTAGATAAATATAACAAGAAAGACAAGCTAGTATAGTGGCACTTGAATTGCTCCATCAAGTCTCAAGTTCAAATTTGATTGAGACCAAGAAGATATTTCTTTATTTTGTTTTCCCCTAAAATTATGAAATTGCCCTCCTCATCTTTTGATAAAAATCTTCATCCTCCTCGCTTCTTTTTCCTCTAGAAAACTCGCGAGAGAGAGAGACGGGGGGAATGCTCTGATTTGAATGACCCATCTTTCTTCTTTTGCACCTTCGTCTCTATCTTTTTCACCTGTGATTGTCGCCGACATGTTTACTATAGCTTCATCCGCCGTTGGTTTGTCAAACTCGTGGCTGCTGTTTTCATTTCATTTCCTTTCCTTGTTCCAGATTGGTGAGGTTTCTTCCTCTTTGTTATCTGTGAGGGTCTATAGGCAAATTAAGATTTCTTCTTTTTCCTCACTTGTTCCGTCAATATTGGGATGCTCATCTTTCCTTTATTCATGGCGATCGTTTTTTTTCCCTTCACTGTTCAGGCACGCCATTTTCCCTTTCTTTCTATGTTCGGGCACTATGAATCACTTAAGATAGAAGCTTTGATCTTTTCTCTTGTTATTTGAAAAATCTATGTTGTGGGAATAGATTAGTAGCTGTGGTAGGTTCATATTGTTAGCTATCATTTTTCCCCTGCAATCGTTGTCTTCTTTTCTCCTTGTGTATGACAGTGTTAATGGAGGTAAATAAGTCTTGAGCCTTCTTAATTCTCATAGTTTCTGTGTATGAATCATTGAATGGACGATTGAAAAAAAAATTGTCTCCTTTATTTCTATTGTTGCTCATACTGTTGAAGGAAGAAGATGACTCAAATTTAAGCTAAAAATTTATTTTGAAGCTTGGTAATAACATGCATATTGGTTATAATTTTGGAGTTAAATAAATTTTGTTTGGATTAGTTGATATTGAAAAATTTATTAAGGTGCAATTGGGAGAGAACAACTTAGATACAAAGCTTAAATATTGGTGCCTACGAGTTGTCTGTGAAATGCTTATTACAAGATTTGAATTTAATTTTTAAATTTCATTTATCCTTGTGAATGATATATTCAAGTTGAGTATTATTGCTCCATGAATTTAAGCTAAACATTCCAAAAGAAATCCGAGTATGAAAATAGTATCAAACTATTTAAATTCTTGGAAAATACATGGTATTATGATAGAGTATTGAGTTGTGGTTCTGAGGGCCTTTTATGTGTAAAGTTTTGCTCCTAAAATTTGAAATTTACTTTAGTTAAATTTTGATGGTAGTAATATTGGGAGGAAATAATTGAGATTATGGGAAGTTTATTTAAAAATTTTTAATTAAATTCATAAGATATTTGGAGGAGGAGAATTTAGCTAGCATTAAAAGATAAATTCTTGAGTTCTGAAAATTTCAGATAAGTGGATATCATCCCAATTGATATTTTAATAAAATTTTTTATTAAAATATTAAATTTTTATGTAAATTCTTTTTACAACAACAATGCGATTAGTATATATTTTATTAATTAAATTACTTTATTTTGTGAAATTATTATACCAGAATTGATAATTTTAGTTAACCAATAAATACAAGTTTGGATTTTAATTATGAGATTTTATTTTAAAAATTATTGAATTGTTACGAAAAATGATTCATATAAGTTTAACATTAAAAATGAAAATTTTATTTTAAAAGTGATGATTTTCTCACATGTTTGAAAATGGATTTGAAAGGGACTTTATATAGAACACTGATTGCTAACAACAGTTCCATTAGCCCTTGGTCATGGTTAATGATTAGCTAGTTTGATATTCGTGAGCTTTATTCTCACGTTTGTTATTCGTGGGTTTAATACTTATGTTTGATTTCATGGCTTTAAACTGTATTTGGTTAGCATTACTCTCATGAACTGTATGTCCATGTTTGTTTTTATGGCATAAGTTATGTTTGGTTATTTACCCTTATGGACTGTGTGTCCACGTTTATTACTTGTTTTGATAAGTCCCTATAATTATGAGTTTTTAATTATTTGATGGATTTATTTTCATTAGTTTTTGATTAATGATATATTTATAATTATTTAATGCAGTTATTTGCTTTATTGAAATGAATTGATAAGGATGTTTGATATAAAATTTTAATGAATCAAGATTTTATTTAATATTATATAAAACCCTTTATGCTGAAATTTACTAAATATTTGTTTGCAGAAATTGTTATTTCTAGCACGCATAATTATTTTAAACTTTCTTTTCATACATATTTAATTATTTATTGTTGGGATGCTTTTGACTAGAGATTTATTTTGGTGTCAGATTCGTTAACTGACGTTGATCCTGCTATTGACCTTTGAAGGATATACAATTGTTTTGGGTAGAGTTTTGCTTAGTATTATCTCCTTTTAATGTAAATATTTGAATTCATATATTTTATTTTGGGAGTAAGATTAGGCTCTCCACGTAGCCTATAATTAGGATTCTATTTTGAATATATATTGTCTGCTGGTTGAAAGGAGTTGATCTCCTAATTGATATTATATTTTATATAAAATATTGTATTGAAAAATTTTTAGGAGATTCTATTTATAAGGAGAAGTTGTCAAAATTTTTACAAAAATATCAAAATTTATATTACAATGATTTTTATTAATTATATCACAATTTACATTTCAAATTTAGCTATGTTTTAAAATAGAAAGATTTCTCAATTTAAAACTTAAGGGATGTGTTATATGAATTACGTCCCGTGTTGATCACCTTTTATTTTTGGGGTATGAGAGGTGGCTTCTCTTCGAAGGTGGAGGACAGCAACATTACCTTCTCTCCCCTCTCCCACCACCTCCTCCCTCTTTAATCACCTTCTTCTCCTTCTCTAATTTAGTGCACGATGGGTTGCTACTCATCTGAAATAGCAAGCAATGACGTTCTCTAATTTGGACATCGGGATGCGTAATGGGATGATGTAGAATGATGGCAAGCACAAAGCAAGCATGTTAAAGGAAGAACATTGTTGCATAGCTTGTTTTGATACCTTCATCAAATTTAAAACTAGCTCCAAAAATGAAGGACCATGTCATATCTTTTTTTTTCAATGGAATTAGAAAACACTTTCATCAAAAAAATATTACCAAACTACAACCAATACACAAAGCAAAAATGAAGGAGCATGGCTGACTTGAAACTAGTTAAAGGATGTGGGAGGGGGGTTTTTTTTTAAGAGGATGCTCAATAGCTTTTTTTTACAAGGGCATCATAGTCTTTTTATAATTATAATTATATATATTGAATAAAAATTATTTAAGCATTTTCATTCCATACAAAATATAATTTTTAAAACTTATTTTCACTCTCAATTCTAATATTAGTCCCATTCTTAGTCCCTTAAAATCCATCATTTGCGTCGAACAAGGCCTTATTTATTTATTGAACAACCGCCTGATCCACTAAGTTCTATTTTTATTGTCAATAACAATTAAAATATTTAAAAATGACTAATATATTAGATTTTAAATAAATAATACTACGAAACAAAATTAAAATTTAGATTCTTTTAATTCAAGGTATCCCCATAATTAATAATAGTGAGATTAATCCATAAAAAATATGAGTGTTTTTTAAAAAGTTGCTTTCTCTCAAATGATACTTTAGATTTTTTTTTTAATATTGGCAAATAAGGGACAATATTTTATCTATTGTTTTGTTTGGTTTTTGCATCCAGAATCTTAGGTTCATTATCCACCTCTAACTAATTTGGACCCCGCTTAAAGGATCTTGCGATAATGACGGGTATAAATGGAACAACCTCTTTGAGATTATATTAATTATCACGTCTGTTACTTTTTAGAGTTCGAACTCTCATATTTGAAAATAAAGGTCGTATTTCTTTCTAACTCTATTGAGCATCCATTGATATTTTATTTACTATTTTATCATGAAATTTATAATGTGAACATGATCTTTGCCTTCACTTATTTTATTTTTTTAGAAAAAACAATGTGAGCGTACGAGATTATTTCTGTCATCATGGTTCTCCCCACATTAGGCATCAAGACGATGTCGTTTTGGATTTTTTTTTTTTCCAAATTAAGCCTTACAATTTTTTTTTGGACCAAAGACGCCTTATAATTAAAATTAGTAGCCCAGGCCATCATATCTCCACCTCCCGTTGTCCGCGATCTTGCTTATTCGCTTTCTTCTTTCCTTCGCTTCAGTGGTCGCGATCCAGACCACATCCACTCTCTCTGGCCGAAGCCCTGAACTCCGAAGTGGCGAAGTGTTCATTGTTGTCTCTCTTTCCCAAGGTCGTTTTTAATTTTGTCTCTCAGATTGCCTTCGATGATTCTTCTCTTGCATTTTCGTGGTTAATTTCTGATTTTAACACATGCCTTGCTTCAGCCTTTCTGGTCATCTTAATGATATCCTTCATGTGTCTCGAGTTTTCTCTCATTTCACAGCAATCTAGATGCCGCAAATAGATCAAAAGGCTTCCACTGCGCTTGACAGGTCAGGGTCACATTTTCCTTCGAAATACGCTTTCCCTGAAAGTTTTTCCCCCACGAAGAGAATTTTCGTTTCCTTCAATTTCCTTTTCCATGGCAAATGCCTGGAAAAGAGATAAACCCTCTGGACTACGCTCCCCGAGATTCCTCCTCCTCCTTCTCTTTGCGTTTCTTATCCTTCTCTTTATCTTCTTTACCCTCACTTCTAGTCCCCCCAGCTCCAGTCCTGGCTTCCTCGCCGTCAGCACCCATCTGTCCTTCCATGCAATTTCTCCTTTCGATTGCATCAAATCTCCACAAGCACACCCCGTCATTGCGAGCACCGTCGAAGGCGTTCGATACCCGTTTCTGTACTCGCTTTCCGATTTCGGAAATTTGCCCGACAAGCCTCACAAGAACATCGTAAGAATCCTCAAAGGGAAACCGTTTAGGAAACCCGATATTTCGGCAACGATTCAGGAGGTTTTAGAGAGGATGAAAAGCGAAGGCCGAGATGGGTTTGTTGTGGATGTGGGTGCCAATGTGGGGATGGCGAGCTTCGCTGCCTCGGCTATGGGTTTTCGGGTTCTGGCATTTGAACCTGTTTTCGAGAATTTGCAGAAGATTTGTGAAGGGATTTACTTCAATAGGGTGGCAGAATTGATCACTGTATTTCAGGCTGCAGCGTCGGATCGGCTTGGTAACATTACCTTTCACAAGGTACTGTTTCTGGACGACATTTCTGACCTTTTAAGTTCGTTTTCTTCCTGTGGGGATCGCTTATGATTGATTGATTGCATTTTATTTGATTTTGTGTAGTTTATATGGTGAAGTATGAATTGAACTTTAGTGGGATATGGCAGAAAAAGGCTTAGTCAGATTAATGTTAAGTCGAGTAACTGACTTAATGCTTAGCTCAGGTTTAAGATCTAAACCAATAAATTTAGACTTGGAAACTGAGTAGTATACCTCCAAGGTTTATTGGTGGTGGATTTGTTATGAATGTCACGTGTAATCATAATAAATCAGAGTGCTCTCAGATTTGAGTTGCTATTAATCTTAATTTACAAACAATTACTAATTCTTACATTCTTAGTCACCCGAGAATCTAGATTCCAGTGGAATAGATTCAATCTGAGTGTGAGGATATTTAATTAAGTTGAAGCATGCAAGCTTGATGTCTGAAGTTAAGTCAGAAACTTAGAAAATCATAGCCTGTAGGTGACAGCAAGATCCTGAAAGATCTCATGAAGAGATCTGTAGGTGACTGGCTATTGTTATTGACTTGTGAATGATGATAAACTAAATGCACAGTTAAAGATGTGGCTTATGGCTTTAATTGGATGAATCTCATCTATAAGCCTTAAACGATATCATCTAGACATACGAGAAACATAACTCCAAAAGTCATGATTTTTTGCGGCGAGAGTTATTTTAAAATATTGCTTATCTGCGTCATAGTTGAAGCTGTCAATAGTTTGAAGAAATTACAACACAAATTCATTTTCATTTGAAGTCTTGATTTTTAGCATTAATTTCTTGGTTCGTTGCCCTTTATTCAAGCTTCTGTTGTATGAAATGAAATGCATTGGCTAGTAGTGCTAGAACTCATAAAGATGAGTCATTTGGATCTTGAGTAGTATAAGAACAAGTGACACAGAATGAGAGTGTGTATGGAACCCCTTTTTTTTTTCTCCTCCTTTTATCCACTTTTTTCCCTCTCTATTTCTCTTTCACTTCAAAGACACTTTGCAAACTTATAACTTCCAGATTCCAATCCAAGGGTGAGGTAGGCTTCAGTTTCACTAGAGCAAGGCCCTATAATTTTTAAGTGATAAGATCCAAACCAAACTAATCATTTATATATGTAAATATGTTAAAAAGCCCCTGTATATAGAGCAAACCTAGTTAGGAGGAATCTATTCTTCGCTTTTCATATCATGTGAGGGATTAGTTTCTATTACCACCTATTAATAAACAATTTTCCCAGTCTGAAAAGTAAGTAAGTAAATATTCTAGAACTTAAAAAGTATGTAAAAGGGTAGCCCCGCTAAAATTGGGGCTGACATTTTATACATGTTTATTTATGATTGGCATAGTAGAGACAAGGTTCATGTAAGAATTTTTCCATGCATGTTGTAAATAACGGAGAAAAGAAATTATAAAGCTTGAGAAATTGCAACCCGTCTTCTGATTTTATCACGTGTTCTGATCATGTGCATCAATGGTTTCCTTGTCTAGTATAGTTGGTTGGCCGGCTGGACAACAGTGCTGTTTCTGCCACTGGCGCAAAGTTGGCATTTCAATCCAATGAAGAGGTAGCTCTCCAAGTAAGGTCTGTTCCTCTAGACGAACTGATTCCTGAATCAGAGCCGGTGCTTCTGCTCAAAATAGATGTTCAGGGATGGGAATATCATGTGCTTAAAGGAGCATCAAAGCTGCTCTCAAGAAAAGGAAGTGAAGCCCCATTTCTCATATACGAGGAAGATGAGCGTTTGTTAAAGGCTAGTAATAGTAGTGCAAAAGAGATTCGTGACTTCCTCAAAAGTGTGGGTTATATTGATTGTACTCAGCATGGCACAGATGCTCATTGCACCAAGAAGGCTTCAACATAACTTTCATATTCAAAATTTTCTCTAATATTTCCAGGTGGCTAACAGCATTTAGATGGATGGTGCGGTTCACTTGCATATTCATTTTCTTCTTTTAACCATCTAGAATGCAGAGTATATGGGTAACATAACAGCCGGCTTCATAATAGCTCCATGAATCTCACACAGCAGTATTACTTATATTTGGAAGGGGACCTGTATCTTGAGGTGCATTATTCTCTTCAACCTGCGAAACTAAGGTTTTTCTATGGAAGCTTTTAGTTTAGGCGTGATTTTCAGTTATTTTTGTTTGAGATTTGACTTATCCATTTATATATATATATATATATATATATATCACAGATGCAGTGAACTTACAACATTGAGAATGCTAATGATGAATTAGCCTCTCACATCACATGCCGCTTCAAGTTCAAGTTTAATGTCTTGAATTTATTTGATGTTGCTAGTGTATTAAGTAATATTAATTATTTTTCAATTTTAATTGTAAACGGCCTGGAGAGAGAGAAAGAAAGAGAGAAGTCCACGAACAAGTCGATACTGGGAATCATCTAGAAAAATGTATATGTAATATTATTGCTCAAAGAATACAGGGTCAATGTAATTTTGTTTTATACAATAATCAAACTAAAAAATGCATGGGAGCATTGGTCTTGAATGGTTTGAGATTTGCTTAATACAGCTAAGTGAAGTAGGTCTTTTTGTATGATGAAATTATTATCAAACAAAACTTTTTTAATGAAATTAGGGATAGTAAACTCTCTGTATTACTTTATAGGAAATGCACAAGACTTTTAGCACTTAGCATGCTACTTTCAGGATAAACATGTAATGACAATAAGAGCTCTTTTTCAAAATGGCAGAGTATAGATAGCCACTTGAAAAGTAGATTTAAAATCGGACGTCTTCAAAATGGACCATAATCTTGTGTGTAAATGTTTTGGAATTTGTCAAACCAAAAATCAATCACAATTTAATGGAATAAACTCAAAGAAATGAAATAAGGATTTAATATAATAAATTACTTGATATAATTTATGTTTATTTTTTACATTTCATTAATTTTAACAAAAAAATTAAATTATTTATTTACATATCCACATACTTAATTATTTAAAGTTTTTAAAATTGCTGATCAAAAAAATAAAGTTTTTAACATTGGAAGAGAAAATAGACAATTAGATTATAAGAAGCAAATTAATAATTTTAAAATTTTGAACATGATTTCAAATAAAATTGAATTAAAAATGTAAGTTTTCAAAGCAGTGGGGATGTGTCTTCCTAACAAGTTAAAAATTGGGTTGAGTGGATAATTGCTTTGTTCTCTGCTGCATAATTGATGTATTCTATAACAAACAGAAGGACTAAAAACTGTTGTCTGGTTGCTTGAGTGGATTTCTCATGTATTGTAATTTCTTGGTTATGGTAGTTTTCTCCATTCCTTGTCACCATTGATGCAGTTGATTTTTCAAAATAGATTGGTATCTCATAAGATAATATTTCATTGCGAATAAACTTTATTTTTAGCGGAAAAGTACTTTACAATCGAAGGAGATACATGGAATTGGAAGTGAAGTATAATGATAAAAGTGATTGTCTTGTCTTTTTAACCTCTTTTTTTTTTTTAAGTAGTACTCATGTTGTTGGTGAGCATATCAGGTAAGTTTTCTGGATAAGGATTTACGTACTTTCCAAAGCGTCTCAGTGCAAACGGTGGTCTGAAAAATTATCTTGTTAATGTGTGTTTGATTTTTAATTTGTCAGAAGTTTATTTATTAAAAGTTAATTTATAAAAGTCAGTTTAATAAAAATTATTTGTTGTAATGAAATTTGTATTTGAATATATTTTTTCAACAATCAGTTTGATAAAATGAAAATTATTTGAATTATAATGGTAAAATGTGCTTTTAAATGTATAATTATAAAAAAGGATATTAATATGATGATTTATAATTTTTATTATACAAATGTAATATATTTAAAATATTTAAAAAATGTAATAAATATTTTAAATAACATAAAATTTGATCTGTAATGTTAAAAATTTGATCTCTAATTATTTATATTTTTTAAATTGTAATTTTAAAAAATGTGACAAATATTTATAATTTTTATTATACATTAATATTAAAAATTAACACCATTAATTATTTAATTTATAATGTTAAAAACTTGATATCTAATTATTATTAATTAAATGATAATTATATTTTTAATGAATTAACTATTTTTTAAATAAAATAATAAGAGATTAAACTTGAAATAGTATCATTGAATAATATTTCATTTTTTAAATTCATTTTTTAAAAATTTTTGCATGGAGCTTTAGATTTTTTACGTTTGAGCCTATTTCAGAAGTTTTTTTACTTTTAGAAAATTATCTCAAATAGCTTTTTGCATTTAAAATAAAAAAAAAGCTTTTGAAATGTAAAAAGTTGATTTATCAATGGTGCTAGTTTGTTTTGTTTTTTGCAAATAAGCTTTCATCAATTTTGAAGTGTGGAGATTTTGTTACCAAAAGCATAACATAGAAGACTGCAATGATAAAGTTTTATTGGTTGGGTTTTAATACTTTGTGATAAGTTTCATATAATTATAAGATTTTTGTTGTTTTAATTAAATCTAACAGGTTGAATTGCATAGGGGAAAGGGCGCCAACAAGCAAATTGAAGCATGGGAGTGCCTCGACCAATCTTCACAATCTCTCGTTCCTTTTGAAATAAATTAGATCATTAGTTGTCTAAATCAATCTTTTTTATAAAAAAAATAAACTTCAAGTTAAGTTAAAATTAATGTGTAGTCCTTGATAATAGTAATTCATGAAATGATTATGATTTGAAGTTTATAATTAATTTTGACAAGTATAAAGACATTTAAATATTTTTAATAGGATTATAGTTTTAGTTTCATGATTAATTTTGACATGTACAAAAGTATTTAGATATTTTTGAGATTATAGTTTTAAGTTCATAATTAATTTTAATATGTAATAGATATATTTTATAATTAATAATTAATAAAATCTTAAAATTTATAATATAATATAATCAATAATATTTATTTACTCAATTTCATTATTTACAAAAATGCAATTCATCCTTTAAAATTTTTAGATTTACTGATATTAATTCTCAGATGATATAATTATTTTTGGTAGTCGGACTCGGATACTCGTATAAGGGCTCCGATATATATATATTTAAAAAAAAAAACCAGAAAAGAAAATTTCAGGGCAAACCCATCTGAGGCTCGGTCATTGATTGGCAGCGCTCCTGTACTTCTCGCTTCACCGCTCTCTTGGTTCTTCTTCTCCCTCGACTTTGAGCTTCGCCGCCGAGCAGAACGCTGCCTGCCAGCCTCTCTTCCGATCTTCTCCTCCTCCATGGACCATCGTAGTTAGAGGCAGTTGGCGCCTAAAAGTGAGAGGCCTTCCTTTTTGACGATGGAAAAGGGGAAGCTTTTTATGATCGAAGTTCCGTGATTTTTCAACTGTTTTGATTGCGATGGAGGAAGCTCAGTTGGAAACTTCAACACCCTCAGAAATTCTAGGTTTTCCTCGTTACCGTCGATCACATTTGAAGAGTGGAACTTTCCATACCCTGGTTCGTATCCTGTCCCACTGCAGCAGCGAGTGCTGTCTACGTGGCACCAATGGAATTCATGCTGCTTCTCAAGGGCTAAAAAATCATGGTAAATGAAAATCAATGACTCTTGCTTTTTTATTTTTGATTGTTTATCGGTTTTCTTATTTGAACTCAAGTAATTATGTTACTCTAGAACCTGATGTTTAAGCTTTACTTATGGGCTGGCTGTTCGTGTCAATTTAACCGCACATTTCTCATGCAATTCTCTCTCTTCGCCTGTTTTAAGACAATGGCACCGATATATTGCGGCAAGAATGCCAGGAAAAGGAGCCTGAGAACCTGCAATTCTCTGCTACTGATCTTATGAATCTCAAGCATCCTGCATCCGATGAAGAAATACAGGTTCATGAGAGCTCTGATGGTAGGGAGTTTACGGTGGTTGTAGAGGAAAATGTAGGCTCTTCTGGAAGGCAGGATGTGATGATTTGTGAAAGAGAGAATGGTGAGGCCCTGCCTATGGAAACTAATGATTTGAATAAGGAACGGAAGAAAATAGAAGAGTTAAATCAGACAGTGAAAGGAACTGAAAACCTTGTTGACAATGGCTTGACTCCCTTGAACTTGGGATTAGGTGAAAACCAGAATGGAAGCAGTGACGATGATTTGATGGATTACCAAGTAGAGTACGTTGAATTTAGAGGATTCAATATCAACATGTCTGGAACTGAAAGTGAGTTATATACAGAAGGAGAATTTAATCAAAATATCTCTGAAGGCTTTGATGCATCTTTAATTGCTAACATTTCAACGTCTGCAAAGAAAGAAACCTCGATGCCCATAATTGGTACGTCAAGTACAAAGCATGAGGGACACCAAAAGAAATGGAATTGGTGAAACCACTTTGCGCTGCAATGGTTTCTCCTCCTATTATTGAAGAAGGTGAGTTTGAGAAGGAAGAACTTGGTCAAAAGATTCATGTAGGAACACACCTTTCTCTAGATGATGGTATGGAAAATAGTGAACCGTTGAATTTGAGTATTGAACTTGAGAGAATACAAAAGGAAATGGAATTGGTGAGACCTGTTTCTGCTACAGTTGTTTCTCTTCCTGCTACTGAGGAGGGTAACTTTGAGAAGAAAGAACAACATGGTCAAAATGTACCCGAGGCTATGCAATTTTTGGTTGATCAGGGTACGAATAATAAAGAATCAAATTCAAGTATAGAGGATGAGAAACAAAAAAGGGAAATAGACTCAGCAATACCAGTTTGTGCTGCAACGATTTCTCTTCCTACTTCTGAAGAGGGTGAGTTTGAGAAGGAAGAACAACACAGTCAAAAGGCTTCTGAAGCAATGCATGTTTCGGTAGATCAGGCTATGAATAGTGAAGCATTGATTTCAAGTATAAAGCTCAATAGACAACAAAAGGAAATGGCAGTGTTGAAACCTGTTTCGGCTGCAATTATTTCTCTTCCTAATACTGAAGAGGGGGAGTTTAAGAAGGATGAACAACAGGGTCAAAAGGTTCATGAATCAATGCAATTTCCCGTAGATCAGGATATGAATAATGACACATCAAATTCACATATAAAGCATAATAAACAACAAAAGGAATTAGGCTCAGTGAAACCAGTTGGTGCTGCAATGGTTTCTCTCCCTACTACCAACGAGGTTGATTTTGAGAAGGAAGAACATGGTCAAAAGGTTCCTGAGGTAATGCAATTTTCTTTTGTGGGTATGAATAATAAAGCATCAAATGCAAATCTAAAGCATGAGAAACAACAAGAGGAAATGGACTCGGCGAAGCCAGTCTGTGCTGTAACTGTTTCTCTTCATACTACCAAAGAAGGTGAGTTTGAGAAGGAAGAACAACATGGTCAAAAGGCTCCTGAAGCAATGCAACTTCCTGTAGATCAGGGTATGGATAGCGAACTATTGATTTTAAAAAGAAAGCCTAAAAGACAACAAAATGAAATGGAATTGGGGAGACCTGCCTGTGCTGCAGTTGTTTCTCTTCTTGATATTGAAAAGGATGAACTTGAGGAGGAAGAACATAATAGTAGTGATGCGTCCAAGCTCACTAAGACATATGTAAGGAAGAGTAAGAAGAGGGGTTTGGGCCAGTTGGGCTTGGACCCATCAGGTAGAAAGGTCCCTGAAGCAATTCACTTGTCTGCAAATCAGGGTATGAATGGTGAAACATTGAACTTGGGCGGAGACAGTGAAGAGATGTCATCAATGGACATTGATATTTTGGATGCTAAACATATAATGCAGCATGAAGAAAAGCAGCCAGACAAAATAACTTGTGCAAATGATGCAACATTTTCCGATCATCCAGATAAGGAAGAAGACATTGAAGAGGGAGAAATTTCAGGTGACTTTAGAATGGATGAGAATTCAATTGATGTATCTTCTGTAGATTCTTTGTTGATAGAACAGAGAAAACATTATGTACAAAAGCCCAAACATATTGAAAATATAGTATTTCCTTTTAATAAACAGAAAGAAGAAAAAGAAAAAGAATACAAATCAACTCAAGATGCTTGTAACAGTGGACTTATGGAACCTAGGAAAAGTGATAAAAATTATTTTCCAAATGGAGTTGATCTTGGAATGTCTCGGGAAATTATTGATTATAGAGATTTAGTGGAGCATGGTTCTGTGGTGATTGGAAAAAGTGAAGACCGTGGAATTAAAGGGGTTGTTGGCTTGCCACCAACTTTTTCTAACAAAAAAGTCTTGCCTAAAGTTGTTTTGGAAGAAGCCACTGAAGATCATCAAGACACATCTGCAGTAAAGGTCTGATTTTCACTCGCATTACTCAGTGAATTGTGCAATAAAACATTTTTATTTTCTCATGTTAACTTTACTCTTAAACATTTAAATATTAGCCTTTGTTTTATTTTAGTTTTTATAGTTGTCTTTTCCTGCATGGAATGTTTTAACTGCTTGATGATCTTCCTTTCTGTTGTTGTGTTTAGTTTTGTGAAATAAGATGGCATAGGCTTGTTTTGAGCTGATACTACCTTCTTTAGTGTTATATATATGGGTGTTCATCTATATGTTTATGCATGTTTTCCTTACTTTTTTTTATTTTAAATATGTTAAATTCTCAAAGCTTATTAGTCTTTTCGTCAGTTCCCCTGCTTTTATAAACTGTATGCAGCTTGTAAGGTTTTGGAAAAGGCATTAGAATTAGGTACATGAATTTTCTTTGCGAACAATAGTTTCATTTATTAATGGGAGAATGAGAGTGAGGTTTCAAAGGAGTGAATTAATTATAGTTAAGTCTCCGACAACATTTTCTACAAAATTAATTGTAAAAATCAATTCAAGCAGTTATAAGCAGAAATTCCTGTTACAATGTAAGAATTACATTTGATGTTTAAATGCTTATTTGCAATTGAAACTCTTGGATATGTAATTATTTGAATCAATTTTTTCAACTTATTTTTGAAAAAAAAAATTGTTGGGAACTTAACTGTTATTAATTTAGTGTTCTGACATCTAACTGTCATTCTCCTTTTATTAATTTATAAGAACTGGATGTGCCCATGCTGAGTTACCACTCCATGATGCACTGTCATTTGTAGAAATTTTGTACTCTTTTCCATTAAAGTGTTGAATGATGCAGACTAGCTTATAGTAAATTGTGCTGGATTTGTTTTTGTTGTTTGGTTGTATGACCACTTTGGCTGATCACTTGCAACAGAAAGCCGGCATCAGTTGTAAGAAAAAACGTGGTCCTGTTACTGAGGAAAGGAAGGCTAAAAAGAAGGTATTCTTAAATTGTTTTTTAGTTAGTTTTATTTATTGATGTCGAGCTATCATTTTAAGTTGTGATATGGATTTTAAAAATTAGTTAATTCCATTTCCGTTGCTTTTGAAATCACTATTAAGATCGTTTATAGAATAATCCATAAGTCTGTATGTTTCCAATATGTGATTGGTCTTTCATTTGATTAATTTCATTATGTAGGAAAAGAAAAGAAAGAAGAGGGCAGAAAAGAACAGAAAACTTGGTGTTAAAAGGTTGAAGTTGCAGCCAGTACAGAAACCAAAAACTATCACATATTGCCGCCATTATATGCAGGGAAGGTGCCACGAGGTTGTTCATATGACTCAATCACATAATAATTATCTTGCAAAAGTGAAGGAATGCATCTATACTGAATTCTTATGACATTTTCACCTAGATGTGCAATTGGTTGTTTGTTATCTCTTATACATGAAAGACTACTTTAAGGCTGAAGGCATTCTATTTATGGGAAGAACAAAATATAGTGGCATCTCATGCGTAATGTCTATTGTACATGAAAATTTCCTGAAAACACTTGACTGAAGTCATGTAGAGGATCTTCAATTTCAGTATTTATATTCTCGAGCATAACATGAGATGCGATGCATTACCCCTAAACTCTTTGAAATATCTTCAGCTTAATGTTCAAAACCATCCCATCCTGATCATTATTTGCGTGAGTTTTAAATGGATCCTATGTTGATAGTACATTGTTAAGTATCTAATGACTCTAACTTCCTTTGCTTACCATCTCCGATAAAAAAACCAATTTGACAGGGTGACAAGTGCAAGTTCTCACATGACATAGTGCCCCTGACGAAATCAACGGTATTTACTTCTTAGTAGTTAGTTCAGTGATATGTAATGGGAGCAATTAATTAGACTTTGTAAATTTAGAAAACCTGAATTTTTATTGAAATTGCAGCCATGCTGTCATTTTGCTCGTCACTCTTGCATGAAAGGTGATCATTGTCCATTTGATCATGACCTCTCCAAGTATCCTTGTAGCAATGTTGTGACAAGAGGTTCTTGCAGCAGAGGAAATGCTTGTATGTTTTCACACCAGGTATCACAATAATTTTACATGGCTTGTAAATGATGTAGTAACATGTGATGTGATTATCTAATGAAGAATTTGCATCGATCAAGTTGTTTGAACAATATATGCATTCATGATAATCTAACTGAAATGGAATCTAAAATACAGATACCAACTAAGCAAGATGTTGTTACATCTTCAAATGATGGCAAGCCTGAGTTGAAGCCTAAACTAGGAGGAAATACAAAATTGAGCAAGTCACCGAACATCAGCAGCAGCAGTGGTTCCCAGTTCAAACAGATCTCTGATTCAAAAGGCATTCAATGTCACATCAATTCAGAAAAAGAGGTGGCAGACACTGTAAAGAAACTACGGACAGTGCCCCCTAAAGGGATTAGTTTCATCAATGTTTCAAAATCATCGTCTCCAAAACAAGGGATGGTAACACCAAACAAGGAAAGTTCTGTTCAAATTGGGAACCTTACTGGCCAAAGTGCATCTGGTGCAGCTTTAAACTCGGAGAATCCTGAGAAAACGCCAGTGGTGGCACCTAAGGGAATTAACTTCCTTTCATTTGGAAAAGGTCGTGTTTCCAGTTTCAAAAGTACTGTTTGCTCCTTTTTGGATAAGGAAAATGGTATCAGGTTGTCTCACAAAGAAAATTTAGGTACGCCTGATCATGCATCTCTGGAGAAGGATGATTGCGGTAAAGTTGGCAGTGGGACAAAGCAAAGTATGCTGCAGACTGCTCTGCGCTCAAATGAGATTTTAAAGCAAAATCAATGTATAGCTGAGGGAATGAATTTGGATTTTCGAGGAAAAGCTTCTATAGATCATTATGGCAGTGATGTGCAATTTAGCTCAACCTCTCATCAGGATCACAGTCTTAGTAGATCAGTGCAAAAGGGAGCAAAGGCATATACTCCTCAGACCTCAACCGTTACCTCATCCATGCTTCCAACTTCTCCATTGCTTTCAGGCCAATCATCAGAACGCCTAGCATCTGGGCATCATAAGCACGTACTTAACTCGGCCCAAAGGGCACTGTTATCAACTCTATCATTTGCAGCAGAGCACGAGTCCAATATTAAGCTAAAATTCCCTGTTGGTGCATCAGCTGTGAAATTAGAGATGAACAAGGATGTACAGCAGTTCATACATCCAAAAATGTCAGGTAGTTTATGATTGCAAGCCACCTAGCGCATGGGGAATTACAGCCCCTTTGAGTTGAGCGGAAGATAATCTGAAGGTTGTTGAGTGCTGTCTTCCCCTGTAATATTTTCTTGCAGCTGTATTGCAGGTAACATCTTGCACATTTTTGTACTAGTATTAATTCCTTTTCGTTTAAGCGTTTAACATCTGATAATTAATAGGAAGACCGTTGCCTTGAACATGATTCCAGTTGCTTGGTCTTGACAGTAAAATCCTCAGTAAAAATTTAACCATTTTAAAATTCAATGCAGTGATTCCCCTGTGATTGTGCTTTATGCCATTATTGTAGGGCTCGCAGATCCTTGTGACGACAAATTTGATGAGCAATTACCTCCACTCTTCAAACATGAGATGAATGGAAATAGATGGAAAAAAAAAGAAGTACAGATTCTGAACGAGGTGGTGATAATGAGGGCACAATGAAGGCAATTTGAAAATGGATATAGGTTGATGAAGAGAAGGTGAAACCATCCGCAATATATTCGATTATGCGAAAATGGCGCATTTGAGAGACACTGCGTTTATGTCAAAAGAAGTTTGTGAAATGAGTTGAAAGGGATGGCAATGATCCAGTGAAGCTGACTGAGATATTCTCGCATTTCAAAAAAATTGCCACGAATCTGGAAACCGATAAAGGCAAAGCACAGTACTTTTATTCTAGGAATAAAATGGATTAATTGGCTTAGTGTTAACTGCAGATTATTATTTTTCCTGTATACGAGTTTACATCTTGTGGCTTAGCCCGAGTCTGTCTTGTATATTTTGTGGCTGGTTTATGCTTTTCTTTTGTGCAGCCAGCTCCTCTTTGTACAGCATTTTTGGTTAATGGAATCTTTTTCACATTCCAAAAAAAGAAAAATAAAATCTTGAGTTGACATCTAGTAAATGAGCAAAACTCTTATTTTGACGGTTTTATATATCATTTTTAGATTTTTTTTTCTTTTTTTAACGGAAGATATGCTATTTTGAGTTTGATTCAACTGGAGTTTGGGTTGGTTAGTTGTATTAGAATACTAAATAGTTTTAACAAGCAGACAATGGTACTAATAAAAGGAATCATGATCATTTTAGTATAAGATCTCAAGTTTCAGTTTATATGAATGTAGAGAATATTTTTCTTTTATATTAAGCTCTTAATCTACTGATAGAAAATTGTGAAATCTATAGAAAAATGTTTTTTTCAAAATAACATTCTATTCATACGTCAGAAACATTATTTTTTAGGATCTCATTCGTTGAATTAATATCAATAATCATATTTTTTAGTTTCTCATTCTTGCTAATGCTAAGCTCTTCAAATATTTTTTTGGGGTATTATTCAATTTAGCAACGGGACAACTAGCCAAATCAATTTGGCACATGAATCCCTTGGGAGTCAGGTCCTCCTCTGAGAGAATCTTCACAGTCCCTCTCTTTGACTTTTTTTTATATTTATTAAAATAAAAAATATAAAAATTTTTAAATTTTTTTATAATTTTTATAAATGTTCAATATTAAGTTTGAATCATATATATCAAATATAGACTGTCCAAACTATCCCAGTTATTAAAAATTTTATTTTTATTTTAACAAATATTAAATCTGATTCATTCAAATTTAATTTGTTTTCATTTGCCCTTAGTGGAGGGACAATGGAGGATTCCCTCAATAGAGAGAATCCAACTTCAATCCTTTCACACAATTGACCTGCCTCATCAAATTTTTATTTCCACCTTAATCATGTGATTTGTTCCAATCTATCTAATTACTCCTTTCATTCAATATTATAATGTATTTTTGAAATATCATGTCAAAAAAATATAGCATTTTAAGTTTTTTAAGGTGCAATTAATAATTTTTTAAATATCCTTAATTAAAAGTTATAATTAATAAAATTTGCTAATTAAAATATCCTATTAAACAACAATAAACATGAAAAGAGTGCATACTTTTAAAGAGACTTTACCAGTCTTATTTATAAGGTAGAGGTATGAGAGATTGTTCATTTTTAATTCTATTTATACAGCACTTTTATTATTTTTGTGTCTATATTTATTTTTTTGCCTATATTAAATGTTGAAAAGATTATTAAATATTAAAGTATTTTATTTTTAAAACATGCTTATTTAATAGAAATAAAATTATAAATTTGTTAAAATTTTAAATAGAATTAATAAGATTTAAGGTTTTTGGTTTTTGGCGAAACTGCATATGTATTAAGCCAGTGTGAAACGCAACACAACAAAGGGTCCTCAAGTACAAAAGCAAACCAAACACGAAAGCAAAAAAGATAAACAAAAATAAATCAGCCAATGCTAATCACGTGCTGGTTTCACGCCCCTCGTGGAATAATCAATTAACTCATTGAAAATACTTAACGGATGGAGGACTTGTTAAACAAGATTAAGATTTTTATTATCTAATCTAAATCTTATCTAATCTGAAAAGTGTCATTGTCCAAAAGAAGCGGCAATGCGCAGAAGGATGTGAGAGGTGGAGGAGGCAAGTGAAAGAAGGTTCATGTCCCATCAGATAAAAAACGACAGGGGGGAATTAATGGAGTGAGGAGGTTAGGGATTGTGAAGCCGACACGTGGTGTCCATGCAGGTTCTTACCGACAATCATCTTGCCTCCGCCGGTTACCGCTTCCACTGTTCCCGCCCAGCCTTCATAGCCCCACTCTTTTTTTTTTTTTAATGATTTCTTTCTTCTCTCTCCTCAGAATAAAATATTACCTTACAAATTAAAAAACAATTTTAAATAAAATCTCACATGTTAATAAATTTTATTAAATATATTTAATAATTTTTTTTTAAAATTAAAAATATAAATTTTTAAAAATATTTTTTTTGGCTTTAAATTTACACTTAATTAATATTAAATAAAAAAATATAATATTAAAATAAATTTATTTAATAAAACTTTAACTTTTTTAAAATATTTTATATTCTTTGAGACAATAAATTTTTTTTAAAAGTATCTTATAAATTTTATTTTTATAAAAAATATTTTATAATTTAAAATGAAAAGAGTATCTTTAAGATATTTTTAAAATTGTATATATCAATAAAATTTATTAAATATATTTTATAATTTTTATTTTTTTAAAAAATAAAAATTTATAAAAATATTTTTTATTCAGGTTATGTAAAAAAGTTTTGAGGCTTAAATTAAAGTTATTGGCAAGGTCATTGTTTTTATTTCACAAAAACAAAAAAAAATCTACTCTAATATCATTTTATAACTTTTTGAGTTATGAAATTATAAATTAAAGGCCTGGTACTAACAGGTTCTAGTTCTCCTTGCGTATATAAAAGAAAATTATATATTAAAGAATTCTAATAAAAAAATCAATTTGATTTGATGAAGGGAGATCAAAATTATTATTCATAAATTATTTTCCTTCTTTATTTGTTGGAATGATATACAAATATTAACGATGATGTGGAGTATCAATAAATTTTCAACCAAAAGATATAAATAAAAACCAAATAATAAATTATATAAACTATAAGTAAGGGTTTTCTTTTGATAAAAAACTAGAGCTGATAATTCAGGTGAACCGGACTTATTCGAGTTAGGCTCAATTCAGGTTGGATTAATTTGAACTGGGTTTGAAGTATCTTACCCCTTCTAAAAAATCCATATAACCAAGCTCGGCCCTAACGTCTTCGAGTTTTGAGCTTATTCGGGCCAGCTCGAATACCCATTTAAAAATATTTTTTCTTTATTTTTAAATCAATTTTAATTTTTAAATAATTCTATTAAACATAAAATATTATTTTAACTTTAAAAGAATAAAATAAAAAATAACTTATCAACTTTATACTTAAATAACTCTATTATTATTTTGTTATATTATGTGTAACATCCTGATTTTTATATAATAAAGAAATTGTGGAATTTAGGTTTTGAGGATAAAAAAATGATAATAATAGAAATTTATATTATTTGAGGTTATTTAGAAATAATATTATGGTTAAGTATTTAATTATGAATTAAAAACTTAGGTTTAAAATTTCATAAGAAATGTTTAGGTAAGATATAATTTTTAAGATTTAGAATATATAAATATTATTTTTTTTTGTGTGAGTTAAAAAAAAAGAAAAAGAAAGTAAAAAAAAAAGGAGAGGAAGTTTAGTCCCACATCAATTAGATGTGGGAAGGAAAGGCACCTTCTCATGTATAAAACGAGGAGGCGCATTGCAAAGGAAGCCAAAAGAAAAATTTTTACAATTTGTGAAAATTATAACAAATGGCCTAAGATGTAATTTGTAAAAATTGTAAGTAATGGCCTAAATGTTTGAATAATTAAATTTAAAATTATAGTTTTTTATATAATTGTGAGACCCACAATCTTATTTTATATCATTTTTCTCTCTTCCTCTCACGTTGCTCGGCGTTTTCTCGTAAGGGGAGATTATTTTCTTTTTCTTCAGGTATGCTCCAACTTTCCTATTTAGATTAGCATTTAAAAAATTATTTAATTGCAAAATTAATTTTATAGTTATTTTCTAAATAGTATTAGCTTTCTAGTGATATGATTATTTTGTAGAATAGAAAAATATTTTGATTAGGATTTTTTTTATAGGATAGTTAATCTGATGATATGATAGATTAAAAATATAAGTTGAAGTTCTTAGAGGTATAATAAATATTATAAAATATTTTTTGAGATTGAAACTCATGTTTAAGAAATTTTTGAGTTAAACTCTAGATCTATAGGGTTGAATTTATGTTGAATCTGAGATGTAGGGATGAACCTCTGATTATTAAATATTTATTTAAGTATGAATAGATATTTTTGAGGTTATAGAAAGGTGATTTGAGGCTTCAGGATAATTCTAAAATTTTTAATTTATTTTTGGACGAATTTTAGAATATAGAAGGATGAAATTGTGATACTAGAAGTGATTTGAGGCTTAAAAATAGTTTATTAGGGTACGAGAATTTTAGAAAAGAATATGGGAAGTTAAATGAGGCATAAATCTTAAATTAGTGTTAATATGTATTATAAATCTAAGACTTTCTAACTCTTTAAATTAGATTTATTTATTTTAATATAAATTGAAATATTAATTTTTTAAAATTATTTTCTTTAACTTTTTATATTGCTTAACCCGTACACATGAGAAATTTTTACTCTAATTATTCTTAATTTTTAACCAAATCTAGCATAAGCAATAACCAAGTAATTATTTAATATTATTATTTTATTTATTATGTTTATCTAGTAGTAGAGTTAAAAATTCATACATGCCTAAATTTTATTTTTACTTTAAAATTAATTATCCAAATTTATAAAAAATATAAAATAATTTTTTATACACAAATGATGTATAGGACTCAAAACTTTTTTTTAAAAAATTGGATCTTAAAAGATAAAAATCAATATTAAAATATATTTTAAATATTATCTTGATAAAAATATGAAAATATGACTATTTTTTAATTATTTTTAAAAAATAACTATAATAATACACTCAAATATATAGTATTTTAATATAAAAATTTAAAAATTACTTAATATTTATTATATTTTATATATTTTTAAAAATTTATTCTTTATTTGGGTATTCGGGCCGCTCCGATAGGCCCAAACATTAAGTAAGTTTTTGATTAGGCCACAGGCTCTCTTGCCTTAATGGCCTAACTCTACTTTCATTTAATAATTTATTTATAAAATAATATTAAAGATAGAGAATGTTAAAAAAATATTATAAAAATATCATTAATGAAACTTTACTTTTATTAAAAGGTCTTATAATTTTGGATTCTTAAATCTTTTTTAAAAGTGTTTTATAATTTGAGTTAGAGGAAGTAATTTTTTTATATTTTTTTTTTTTTTTTAAAATGAATCAATAAAATTTCATGGATCAATGTTCTATTTTACTTGAAAATTAATTTTTTGTTCAAAAATTATATTTTTCATAAATCAAACATATATAATTTTATATACTTTAATTAAATTATATCATTTCCTCGGTGACTAGTTTGGTAAGGTTATACCACTTTTCTTTTTTCAACCAATATACTCTCTCTGTTAAAAAATATTTTAAAGAGTTGAATGTTCAAAAATGTAAGGTATTGTTAGTTTTTTGAGGTGTAATCATTACATTTTTTTTAAAAGTGCCCTTATTGATAATAATTTTATATTTATTATAAAATTTTTTATAGAAATATATATAAAAAATAAAATTAATTTAAAAATAAATAACTATTTATTGAGAGGTAAGATTAAGTTAAAAATATTTTATATTTTTAAATGAAGAGAATATTTAATTATCCTTTGGATTTTCAGTGGATTGAAAGTTAGCTAGACACAACAATTCAAAAGTTGTGTGTGAATTAAAATTTATAAAATTGAAGTTTGAAAATTAAATTAAGATAAGAATTATCACCATAAGGTGATTTATATTTTGATATATTTTTTAAATTTGTGTTTGGATATTTTTTGACACAAGTTATTTTGATAAATAAAGAAAAAAGTTAAAAAAAATTAGGTTTTTTTGTAACCTCAATTTTAAATTAAAAGTCATTTCCCATCATTTTTTTCCTCAAACAAGATTAAAACATCTAATCTCAGATTCAAGATCCAAACCTCAGTTTGAGCTCCCAAACCACGCTCGGATTTAGATCAAACATACCCAAAATACTACCGACATTGATATATTCGCAGTCTTCAATTTAATATAAAAATGATTTGACTAAATTCGGAGAAGATGGCTGGCTAAATGAGGACAGGACAGCATAGGCCCCCTGTAGTGCAACATACGGCAAAACCAAGGACACGTGGCTATTTACTCAATTTCCATAAAAGGACACTCACGGAGATGTCCAATTCTTTTTCTTTTCCTTTTTTTCACTAAAACTTGGATTAGCTGGTCCCCTTCTTGGTCCAGCCCAACCCACTTTTTAATTAATTAATTAATTTTTGAAATATAGGAAGTTTATAAATTTTGATAAAATATAAAAAAATTGTAACTCATTTTTCTTGGCTCAATGGAAGTTAATTCAATAACTTTAAATATTTTTTGAATTTAATATTTTAATATTTAAAAGCTTAACCCACCAAAAACAAAACAAAACAAAACTCTCATAATATATTTTTTTTCACTTATAATATTTCAATCTAAATTCAACTAGATGAAAATTTTCTTTTTGCGATGATGTTCTCTTTAAATCTCTTTTACTCAAGTGGGCTTATTTATTTAACACAGATTAATAAGTTTAAATAAGTTATTAGAAAAACATAATTATTAATTTTTATAATTTTATCAAAAAAATTTTATTCCCTATAATTTGTTTTAGTAATTTTAATTTTTATAATACTTGTAATTTGACATATTTAAGGATTCGAGAAATAAATATTATCCAAGTTTATTGAAATTATCAAAATTAAAAATATAAAAAAATTAGAATAAGTAAAAATAAAATTTAATAAAATTATGACATCAATGATTTTATTTTTCTTAAATTATAAATGAAAAAGTATGAAAACAATTTGATAGCTTAAACAACATGTTGAAGAATTCAGTAAAAAAAGATTGAAGAATATTTTTTTAAATAAAGTATTTAAATTCTAATATAAAAATCATTTAATTATTCCTCACTTATAAAAGGGTTAATGTAGAAAAGTACTTAGCCTATTACTCTCCACTTTTTCCCAGAACGGTTCAGCCATTTTTCTTTCACTCTGTCTCTCTACCTCTTAACACTGGCACTACGGAGACCCAATTTTGTGCATAAAGCAGTGACAAATTGGTGGTTGCTCAAGGCGGGTCCGGTGGAATCGGCGGCGGCGGCCGGTCAGAATTCAGTTCTACAGTTTTAATGAACGAAGTTATGGGAGGAGTAGCTCGAGTCAAATCAGAGCCAGTAACGGTGTCCGATGAGGACACTAGTCATTCGAACTCTGATGGGTACTGTGATGTTGAAGGTGAACTACTCGACGGCGTTTTCAGTGACGATTCGGGAAGGAAGAGCTCGCAAGTGACGGGTGAGGGGTTTATTGAACCGGTTCACGTCAAGTTAGAGGAACCGGGTGAAGAGGTGGATGATGTCGATGGCGGTGTTGGAGTTAATGGATCGTCGTACTCGTCGCCGATCGACTTGCCGAAACCGATGGAAGGGTTGCACGAGCTTGGCCCGCCGCCGTTCCTCAAGAAGACTTTCGAGATGGTGGAGGACCCGATGACTGACCCGATTGTATCCTGGAGTAAAGCTCGTGATAGCTTCATCGTTTGGGATTCCCACGAATTTTCCAAAATTCTTCTCCCTAAGTACTTCAAACATAGCAATTTCTCGAGCTTTATTCGCCAGCTTAATACATACGTGAGTCATACAACCTAGTTTCTCTTGTTCAATAGTTCAAATATTTCTTGCTCTCCAGTTGAAGCTAGGAGAATACTTTCTGTGCCCATGGTCGTAACTTCTGTAATGTCTCTTTTGTGCGAAGGTTCTTTCTACACAAAAATTCTTTGGGTTTCATGCGTGTATTTTTCTATGGATGATTATTGTACTACGTGATCCACAAAACTCGAGATTTTGTTCTCCTTGAACTTCGTATAAATTTTTGGGAAGAAAAAGTAATTATGTGTGCTAAATTTTTTGTTGCAGATGTTAAATTTACTGCTCATGTTTATTTTCTATATTTTTTTCTGTCTTGGTTTAAAGTTTACCATCAATAACACATGGTCACTTTATATATTGTTTTACTAATTAAACTTTACGGCATTTTTCTTGATGAATCCTGGTGCTGTCTAGTCATTAAACTGTCATGCGAGTACAGGGATTTCGGAAGATTGATTCAGATCGTTGGGAGTTTGCGAACGAAGGATTTCAGGGTGGAAAGAAGCATTTGCTAAAGAACATCAGGAGAAGAAGCAAGTATAACAAACTGCAGCAAGGAGGAGCATTGACTTCCATGAAACCTGGCCTGGAGGCTGAAGTTGAGAGACTGAGGAAGGATCAGAACATACTGAAAGTTGAAATTCTGAAGCTGAGACAGCAACAAGAGACTTCACGGGTTCAGCTTGTGGACGTTCAAGAACGAGTTCGGTCTGCTGAGTTGAAGCAGTGCCAGATGATTTATTTCCTGACCAAAATGGCCAGAAGACCAACATTGGTTCAGCAGTTAATCGAGAAGGTAAAGCGTAAAAGAGAGCTCAGTGGGGGTGAGATCGGTAAGAGACCCAGATTGCTTGGAACCCATTGCCCTGTCGGCCTCCCTAAGACCATGGACACCATTCCTGATGTTGATTATAGACAAGGTTATAAGGACTTGGCTTCATTGCAATCAGAGCTCAATGGACTCTTGTCTGAAACAGTAAACAATAGCAGAACGCAGCCTGCAGCCCCTTTTCCTCTGAAAGATGAACTATGCAGTTCTATACAGGGATTAAGTACCGATAATTCAAGGGCAAGCGCTACCCAAGCATCGTCTGCAGCCTGCTGTATGGTGTCCGAAAAACTGATGGAAGAGAACTTTGTTGTTGATGAAGGGCTTGATGTGAATGATTCAAATATCTATCTTGAATTGGTGGATTTGATCAGCAAACCAGCTGATTGGGCTGGATCCGCAGGTGGATTGGTGGGGCAAACTGGTTGTATGTGATCGATTCCCATGAAAAGGTAAAGTGTAAATCATTAAGTGATAGCCTATGGATACTTTTAATACCATCTTTAATACATAATATTTTGTGTTTTATTTGAGCTTAAAGTATGGATATATACTGTTTTGAAATAATTTTAAACATGAATTGATCTACCACTTGAACAGAAGGCTCTACGTGAACTCAAGAAGATTAAGCTAGCAAGTAATGATTCATAATTACAAAATTTTTTCTCATTGTTGGCATTGCTTGCGTGCATTTTCAGGTTGCAAGAGTGAGTCCACCCTTCACATAGATGCTTCTGCTGCAACAGCAATGACGATGAACAAATTGTATTTAGGCTCTTCAGGTCTAACTTGAAAACAGAGAACCCAGGTTGTTCTCACCAGTGTACATGATATAGAAAGAAACTGCGTGTTTCTTCTTTTGGCTGGATCCAAATGTGAATATTTTCTTATGTTCCTCTTACATCTTTCACATGTTAATTTTCATAGTTCCCTACTGTGATGGTAAATTTTGGTTTTTCCTTTTTTTGTACAAAGTCCTGTATCAGCCAGTTCTCAAAACTGAACCTTTTGTTACCACACAACTTATTGTAATATGATATCACTATCACTTAGGTTTATGGCTTGTGTGCTGCTTCTGCTTTGTTTATTTTGATTCACTTCTTTAAATATTATGGATATATGATTCTGGTTTAAATTCTGAAGTGTTTCACATCATCATAGAAATTTCATCAAGTTACATTTCTTAGTTAAGCTTTATACTACAGATTTCTATCCGCTTATTTCTCGCCAATCTCTGTAAAAATTATGAAAGGAAAAATTATTTTAAAGTCACGAATATAATTCATTTCAAATTGAGTTTAGTCTTCATATATATATATATATATATATATGCCATTCTTGACTTCAAAATTATTTAGTAAAAGACGTGACATTACTTAGCCTATTGTAGGTTTTCTTTTTTTAACAGAAGATATCAAATTGTTAATATGTTAATCATTAAATAATTTTTATAACACAACAATGACTTATAAGATAATGATAAGACTTAATAAACATAACATATTTTAAATTACATGTTTTCTTTATTTATGTTAATTATTTAAACTATTTATTTTATTGATAGTTGCAGTATGTCAGCCAGCATTTATTGTGTTTTTTATTATAATACACTTTTAATTTTTATTACAACATTTAAAAGTGAGAGGTAATTTTATTTTTATTCTTAATTTTTAAATAATAATACAAACATATTACATATTTTCACATTAATTAGGAAGTGGTAAATTAAAAAAAGTAATTTAATTATTATAAAGTGTTTTATATTTTAAATAAAAAATTAATTTTTAAAAAGTCTTTTATAAATAAGATGGTAGGGAGTATACACACAAAATATAAGTTAACCGTTTGGAAAATACACTATCGTATGAAATGAAAGAAATAAAAAATATATTGGCGACATGATTTGAGTACGAATACAAAAAAACACTGCTTTGAGAGTTATCCCGATCTAATAATATTTGAATTTTGTTTAACCCTATGATCATGTAAATAGATAAATGAAAAATGGGTCGATCAATTATTTTTGGAAAAGAAAATGTGAAAGAAGAGTGACACTTATCATAAAGTGGGTCCCAGAGGGGGACTAAGGAGACCTAAAAGCAATTAGAAATGAGGCCACTTGGGGAAAGGAAGAGGATGAAGGGACCCCAATACCATTATCTTAAAGTGGTACTCTTCATCTGTTTCCCAGCTTCGAACACCTCATTGCAATCCAAATGTTGATAAGGACACCATACATCAAACATCACAACAACCTCTCCTTCATTTTGCGTCTATTGTCTTGCCACGTGTTCGACACCAAATCTTTATGCCATTTCTCTCCTCTTTTTTTATTCGCCTGACTTGCTTTTCCCCCCCATAGCACATGGTATTCACCCGGGTTAGAACTGGCGACAGCGCTTAAGTTCAGAGGACTTTAATGAGATCCAAATTAATCTGAATTAATTTAAATTAATTTTTTTTGGAGTTGAAAATTTTACTATGGATATTGCTGCATTCTCAATTTTAAACTTAGAACTTCTTTAGTTGATATTCTAAAAAATTTGGTGAAATTATTACAACTTGCCCAAACTATCATGAATTCCCATCATGTCAGGTTATTGTTAGTAACAATGGCTTCACAAGTAACTTAAAAATATCTTAAACATATTTTTTTTAATCTGATTACATATTTTAAAATTCAAACTTGAAATATTATGATAAGTTGATTCAATTCTTTTAATTAATTGAACCAAGCTAACTTTTTAAACATTTTTTTTTGAGACATTTACACGAATTTGGACTTATAGACCTTGTCCTGAAGCAGTTATTAATTATTACAATAAAACTACCGCTTCTTAAATTTATTATAGATATTTTTTTATTGCATATGATCAAACACATAAATAACACATAAGTTTCGAGTAATGCATAGAAATGTTGAATATGAACAGAATTCATGAAGGAATGGGTTGCCTAATTAATAAAAATATTTTACACTGGCGGAACCGGAAAAAATTTGGCAGAGGCAATATTTAAGCTAAATGTAAATTTTGATATTTTTAAAGAAAACATAATTTTAAATATTAATAAAAGCAATATATAAATAAATTATATGAAAAGTTTAAAAATATATACTCTATCTCAAATTATAAGATTATCAATAAATATATTAAATACACTTAACAACCTTTTTTCAAAACAAAAATATAAACTTTCAAAAATACCCATCATTTAATATATTGAAAACAGAAGTGACAAAAATTAATTATAGAGAGAGAAAAGATAATATTAAAATTGACTCATTTAATGAAACGTTAATTTATCTAAAATATATTATATTTTGAGACATAAAAACTTCTTTAAAAGTATTCTATAATTTGAAACAAAGGAGTATTAGCTTCATTTGTATCGTAAATTTATTTTTATAATAAATATAAGAGTAAAGAATACTTAAGTATGTATACTTGATAATTTTAACGAGAGCATGGGGTAATTGAGTTTTTAAGGGGGCAATTATAATTTTAGAGAAGGCAAGTGTAATCTTAACTAAAAATCAAATGCAATTTTTGCTTTTTTTGGTAAGGACAATTGCCCCCTCCATGCTGGATACGTCCCTGTATTTTATCATGTTTTTTATTTAAAAATAAATAAATAACCAAGAGATAATACTAACTTTTTTTTTTTTTGCCAGAAGGAATTCACTGAAATAAAGTAAAAGCAGTACAAGTTGGGGGTAATTTGACAACTTGTAGTCAGCTCAATTCACAAGAGAGATAAAAGCTTAGACTCAAATCTTCCTTATAAAAAAAAAAAAAGTATTATGATTAACAAAGAATAATTAAAGAGACGAGATTAAGTTTACCAAATGTTAACAAAGAATAGTTAGAAATGAGATGAAGCCAAAGTCATATTCAGCCGATATAGTAACACTCACCTGATTTTGGGTTTTGTCTGATTCGTTTCAGTGCTTTTCCATAATTATACGTCTAATCATGACATTATGTCCCAATATTTAAAGGTTTCACCGTCAAACACTAAAAAAAAAAATTAAGGAAAAAAATGAAATAAAAGCATGATCACTGCAGAGAGCATTGAATAATGCTTTTATTCCAAAAGAGATTAGAAAGATAAACTCATAAAAGTAACTAGGAAATTAGATTAGATTCATTTCATCCGGAAGCTCTCTATCTCTTTGTTCCTTTCAATTTCAAGCACTCTTCTCTCATTCACTGTATCGCATGTCGGTTGAGCATAGTAGATCTTAAATTTAAAAATTGTTAATGAAAAATATTATATCGAGAATTTGATATAGTTTCTTTTTTTTTTTATGATCTAATTGTCCAAATTAAAATTATTTTTTAGCACAAGAAGTAGATCTCATAGATAATTTCTCTCCCAAAAAAAAAATGAGATAAACGTTTGACCCTATATAAATAAGTCGTTATATGTAAAACTTTTAATTTTTTAAATTTATCATAATTATTAAATTGATCTCTTAAGTTTAATTTTTATTGATTTAATTTTTTTTATTTTTTTAAATTATCATATTAATTTTTTAAGTTTTAAAACACAAATTAATTTTTAAATTAATTTAATGTGTCAAGTATATTAATAACTTAACACGTATATGTAATTAAATAAGAACATTAATCCTCAAATCAATTTAATTTTTATCAATATAATTCATTGCATTACATTTTATTCTTTTTTAAAAATTATTTTATTTTTCTCTGTCTAAATAATTGCTCCCTCCGTTCAAAAATGTACGACATTTTTAAGGAGTTGGATGATAAAAAATATAAAACATTTTTAATCTTTTAAGGTATAATAATTTCTTTTTTTTTAAATACTCCTATTGATAATGACTTTATATTTATTATAGAGCATTTAATAAAAATAAATGTAAAAAAATAGAGTTAGTTTAAAAACAATTAACTATATTATTGAGGAGTAAAATTTAATTAAAATACCTTATATTTTTTAATGAAGGGAGTATTTTTTTTTGTAATTTACATAGTTATAATTATATTTCATTATCCATTTTAGTAGATTTAACAATGCTACCTTTTCTTTGAACAAAATAAAAATCAAATTGAGACAAATTTAAGAGACTATATTAATATAAATTAAACTCAAAATATCAATTAATAACTAAAATAAACTTAAAGGATTAAAATTTTTTTTTATTTTTATATATATAATAGTTAATATTTGAACTCTCAATTATTTATTAGCATGATGCAACAACAAAAAGACGAATTTTTTCTTTTTATATATAACAAAAAGATGAATTCTAGCATCACGTAAGGTTATGTTGAACCAAGAAGAATGAAGGAGAAGGAGAAGGAGAAGGAGACTGATTTAAAACAAAAAAAATAAATAAAATTGAACCTTTAATTTCTCTTGATTTGAATCTAAATGTAAACCTTCTTTGATTCGTTTCCCTTTTGAAGTTTCATTTTTCTCGATTCAAACACACATCTAATGTTGAGTCAAGTTCATTCATGGGGTTCCTCCCAACCATTCCTATTGATGCTGAAGAAGATGATGATGAGACTGCAGATTTATCAAACTCTGCTTGCTTGTCCTCATTGAAAGCCTTACTCAGAACTTCTTGCAGCTGCATATATCTTCTTCTCTTGGCTTGTCTTTCTTCTGGAGTGTCGTTACCCATGTATGCAATCTGTGACAGGTTATTAGTATCCATGATCTTGTTCAGAACTCCGAACACCGAGGAAAGAATCGCTTCCCTAACTCAACTGCGCAATCAAAAAGCACCAAGATTATGATACACTACAAGAACAATAATTCTTGTCCACTAAGAGAGATTGACTGAATATACTGTATAATGTAATTGAACTCTGTCAATACAACTATCGACATAGTTCAGATATCGCATAGAAACCTATTTAGTCCTTGAAAGATTAGATACTTCCAAGATCAGTTT